TTGGGATTTTTTTGCACGGTCCAGCGCGCAGCGGCGACGACTCGCGAGTGTGGCTCGGGAGGGGGGGAGACGGAGGAGTCCGAGCTGCCCAGGACGCAGTTTCAATAATCTGGCCCATCCCAGAACTGCACCGTCGTCCTTCCGCCACCATCGGGAATTAACGGGCGCCCCGGGGTTTATGGACTGTGAAGGACGACCCCCATCTTATTCGAGCCCCCACTCCCCCCCCCTACTCCGCCAAGTCGAAAATTATTGGGGCACATCCTTTCGGCTCGCCCCAGACCCTGAATCCCGCGGGGAGCCTCATGTGGGGTGAGCATTGGGGTAAGGTGTGATGACCCCCATGCTCGTTCACAGCCGTCTCCCCGTGAGCTGCGTGTTCGTTCGTAGGGAGCTGTTTGTGTGCCGCTCATGTGCACGGCACCGTGCCCCTCGCGTCGATGCTGTTGATGTTTTGGTTTAACATCCAGCCTCTGTCCGTCTAAAACACTTTCCAACCTCCCTCCGTAAGGCTGATATTGATGTAGGGCAACAACAACAACAACAACTGTAATTTCACGTTGTGGTGGTTTAGCCAGATAATTATCCAGCTACGGTTGAGAGCGTTTGTGCTTTGGCTCTGTCCTGTCTGTGTGTAAACGGGTTCCAGGCGAGGGGGGTGGAGGTCACGATAACTCCATTGAGGATAATCCATGTGAACGAACCCTTTTAGTGCCAAGTTGCGTTGCCACTCGGGACTTACCCTTCAGAAGACCGGTGCAATCGCGACGAAATTGGCTGCCCGCGAATTGTTCGTGTCCGAGCCCCATCGTCTCACTGCGGCCTCCTGGCACGCCGACTCGTGGCAAGAAGCGTGCTCCCGTTGTCGTCCCAGGATGAGCTTGCGTGTGGAAAGCTTTTACGGAATACGTGCCCTTGCATGAGTGTTCTTCCTTTGTGTCATCACCAGTCTTGTTAATGTGCCCGTTTTACGTATGGTTGTTTTCCACGCGTGAATTTTTCGTCACGTGCCGTGAAACCGTGAGCGCAATCAGGGGCGCCACGGTGGTGGGATGTTAACTACCTCACCTGGTATACAGGAGGTCGTGGGTTCCACCCGAACCCTGACGCCTGCTGTATGTTTGGAGTTTGCGGTGTCTCTCTCCCCGAGGTCACGTGGATTTTTCTCCGGGCCTTCTGTTTTTTTTTCTCCACGTTCAGCTTATTTGATGGGTCACTTCGTTGAGCTGTCATTACTGGCCAGGTCACTTCTGAAAAATAGTTATATAGCTCAGTGGGCCTTACCTGGTAAAATAAAAAAAATAGTTTTAGTTGCGTTTTAAATAGGTGTGTTCATGTACTGGGATTTGCAGTTGGTTGCCAGGCTGAACGGAATCCAGAGGTGCCTTGATAGAGCAGTGCATAGACTCAGTAGGCCCTTACCGAGTTCTAAATGTTACATAGAGGTTACAAAGGGCATCGGTGCAAATGACTGCAGTGGTTTTTGTCTTTAGGAAAAACATAGTGGAGGTTGATCGTTTTCCCCCAGCAGTCTGGTACAGCGTGTACGAGGTCTGTCTGTGTCTGTGGGCATGTGGGGAGCAGTGGTGCAGCGGTTCACGCACTGATTCAATTCCTCGCCGCGGCTAACATCAGTGGCAGATGATATCTGAACTGGTCCCAAGGTCACTTAGGTCGACTAAGCCTTGCATAAAAATCAGAACTGGGGAGACGAAGGCGGCCGAGCGTGGTGCTGGTCACACGTCACCTCGTGTGCCATGCCGGCCTTAATAGGTGCTCGCTGACAGCCTGGGGGGGGGGGGGGAAGGGGGTGTGGGGAATCTTTTGTCTCTGTGTGTGCATCTCATCTGGGTCCCATGCGTGCGTGAAGGCAAACAGGCTTCGCATTCATTGGCTGTTGTGTGATTTGTCAAAATGCGAGCCATGCGCATCTATCTATGCGCAATGCCAAGTTGGGTTTTTTGTCAGGACACTGTACGGTGATACAGCGCGGACCACTGGCAGCGGGATTGCATAAGCGGCCGTTATCAGGGCTATTCCTACAGTTTTGATGAAAGCCAAATTTATCACTGCGATCACCGGAATCTTGCTGTGCGTAAAAAAATAACAACAAATTAAGACTGCCGACCATGCAGGACGCTCCATCTTGGCAGAAACGATCACGTCACCGTTTGCTTCTAGGTTTGTAATTATAAGGCGTCTGATGATGCATTGATTCATTAATAAAGATAGATTTTTTTTCACGCGCACAATACGCACGCATCGAATCACGTGTGCGAGAATCAATTATTTACGCGTTTTTGTAAATCACGTGCTGGCTACAACCGGAGGCATCCTCTCGCTCTCTCTCTCTAGCCTTCGTTTGTGCGTCCCTCAAAGGAGCCCACAGCACGCCGGACTTGGAATTGAGAGGTCGCCCCGTTCAATTCCACCTCCCGGCGCTACAGTTAAAAACAATGGTGCAAGTTTCTTAAATGCCCCCCGCCCCCCAATACTGCCTGGGACCCACCCAGCAGTATCAATGGGACACACGGCACAGCTGAATCGCTCGGTGGAGGTCGGAGAGACGAATGGGTGTGCTCACTGCCTCCAAAACGTCTGCTCAGCATGGAAATGCAGGACCCAGTACACGCCAGAATTCACTCGAGTGGATGCCCTTCCCGCCGGCAGTGGCGCAAGCAAGGCATTGCGGGGCCGCACCTCTATATTTTCGTAAGTTAGCCTTTACATTTGGGTCCGACTTACGGAATGAGGTGGACACGAAAGGAGAAACGATTAAATCCGGGTGGCAAAAAACCGTGACAAAAAAAAAACAGAATCCCGAATTGAATTGTGACCCAGAATCATGACATTTCATCAAATCTCTGGCGTGGGTTAAATTTACACACACACACACAAACCTGCAATCGTACAGTAATTATCGCTTTCGTTAAACACGTCATCTCCCTCCGATAACTCAGGGATTGGAATGGCGCATTCGCAGCTGTGTGCCAGAGTGTCAGGCGTAATGGACCAGCGCCTCTAATTCATTGGCGCCAGTGGGCTTGAACCTGTGACCTTGAGACCACTGATCCTGGAATTGTGTTGCTGCTGGCCGGGGTCTGCCTGGGTCTGCGGTGAGGCAGAGAAACACTGCCACCTGCTGGTGGTGTCTGGCATCTTACCTGTGGTCTATCGTGGCACCTTTGCCGTTCCACACACGCACGTGGGTCGTCGCCTCGCTCCGGGCGTGCGAAACAACAGTGCGTAGATTCGCGAATTGACAAAAATAAATTCGTAGCCTCATGATCAATAATGTATCGTTCACATGATGCGCTAATGTCACCCTTACAGCGCGGCGATAGAGCGAGCGGCTCACAATGGAATGGTTGCGAGTTCACATCCTGGTTGAGGGGGATTAGAGGGTGGGTTGACTCAGCTCATCATCCCCCCATGCCCCCCCGGGTCGATAAAACAAGTGTCAATTTGTTTGGTACGTGAGTCATCAACATTGATCGTCCTCATCATGGAATCTCCTTTGCCAGTACCAAAATATGATAATAGGTTTTTCCCCTTTTTTTCTGGCAACAAAATAGGTGCTAAGATGTTCAAATAACACCAAACTGAAACCTTTTACAAGGAATCATGTCTGCATTAACCATAATACTTGTGGTCAGAATGCAAACAAAAAACACACTGATAATATATGCATTGTCCTTGAAACTGATTGGTCTACACCAGAAGAGAGCCTTCTTTTGAGCCTCGTCTCAATTGGTGTTAGACCAGAGGACGCCAAAAGGCGTACAGCCCAAACACAATGCCCTATCAGAGTAATGAGAGCTCGGGGTGAGCATCTACATCATGGGACCTCCTTTGTTAACATCTTAACACCTGTTTTGTTGCCAGAAAAAAGGGGAAAAACATATTATCATTGATCGTCCTGTAGAGAGACTCGCCCCTGCCGTAGGAATGCGGAATTTCGGCCACTTGCTCAGGGGCTGTACAACGGGAGATGAGCCCACCCAAAAGCCTCGAATGCTTTTTTTATGGGCAGTAGAGCACTTTTGGTTCGACACACCTCGGATTTATGCAGCACACGAACGTGACCGCATCTCGATATGGCCCATGGAATGGTGCAAACTGGGCAGGAGCGAGTGAGAAGGGGGAACGTACGAGAGGAAGCATACAGAGGAAAGTACGTGGTGAAAGAAGGGAGATAGAATAGAAATGGAACAAACAAACTGAGGCGGACAATGCAGATTGATGCACACAGATAGAATTCCCACACTTCTATGCCATGGATATGTTATTGTGTATCTATGTTATTGTGTAAATTAATCCAGTGCAGCTGGTTCAAGAACGAGCAAAAGTCATCTCGTGGCACTTGCCTGACCTACTTCACCTGAGCACATGAGCAAAATGGGTCTGTTGATTTAATTTCATGTAACATAACGCGTAATTATAGCTATAAATGTTGCCATTTTGGTTCCAATTGTCCGAACTGGTGTCATGTAACGAAATGAAGAAAGGTTCATTCAGAGCTCTTCTGGGGTAGTACATGGGCTGTCTGTGGCAAAATGAACCGCAGAAGTAGATATAATCGAACTGCTTCTGAGGTGTGTTTAAGTGACTTTTCATCCACTGCTGGGGGCGCTGCACTTTCCCACACACCCTGCTATCAAGATGTCCGTCGATTGGGTGTTACACTTTTTATTTTTAATTCTCAGAGTTGGAGCATTTGCCAAATTAAGTGCAACATCAAATGTACGGTAAGTATGCTGCTGGACATTTTCTTTGAAATGCAGTCAGTGTTGACGGGTTGATACCATCAACTCTCGACACTTGAGGGTACATTGGTATAACCAAGGGCGGCTGTAACCTTGATTTCAACTCAGGCGCTCAGAGGTGGCGGCTTGCCGCTCTGACCCCCCGAGTCACCCAGGCCACCTGGAAGCCGGAGGATTTAGCGGCGACTCAGCACGTGACCTTTAACCCGTGGCGATAATGTTCCTGCGCTTTAGGGACGAGCGATCCGTATGTGAAGTTCAAGCTCGGGGGGAAGATGGTTTACAAGAGCAAGATCATCTACAAAAACCTCAACCCGGTCTGGAACGAGCCCTTCGTGCTGCTCTTGGACAACTTGAAAGAGAGGATACACGTCAAGGTCAGGATCGCTTGCTTTTGTTGCTGCTGTTGTTTAATGTTTTGAGTGAGTGCAGTTTGCTTGCTGGGCTGTTCACCCACTCTGACGCTGCCTGCCTCTGACCCCTGATTAAGCCATCGCAGGTAGATTATAGAAATTATACCGCCGCGATGCTAAGCTTGATTTCCCATCTGCTTCTCCCGGGGGACAAATGAAAATGAAAATGTTGACACCGCCGTGTACGTAACTTCGCAGAAAATTATCTTGGTGATGCTGCTGCTACTGCAGCTGGGGCCGCGTTGGCAGTGGTGCATGAGCACAGTTAACAACAACAAGAACACATTCGTCAATCACAAGGCTGTGGCCTAAAAAAATATAATTTAACAGGTTTGACATTTCAGGCAATGGCCGTTTTGGCCACAGCGCGTGGAGAAAAAGGACCATTGCCCAAAAAATGTTGCCGATTTTATAGGCTTCCTCTTGCTGAGGCCACGGGGTTATTGCCAGGTGTGTTGTGTACTAAAACTAATTTTTTATTTTTTATTTTACCAGTTAAGGCCCACTGAGCTATATAGCTCTGTTTCAGAAGCGACCTGGCCACAAATTAAAGCTCAACGAAATGGCTTACCACGTGTAAATTTATAGCAGTCAAATACTCTAAACGCACGTTGATTCTAAATGTGGATGTAAAAACTGGAAGACCCGGAGAAAAATCAATGCTACCATGGGGAGAGAGAGACACGCAAACTCCAAATATACAGGCGTCAGTGTCAGGATCAAACTCACGAACTCCTGCATACTAGGCGAGGGAGTTAACATCTCGCCACCGTGGCGCCCATCTCTCTGTCTTCGTGTGTCGGTGCTGGAAGCAAACATGCAACTGAGGGAGCCTCCGATTGCCAGGTTTAGTTCCAGGGGAAGCGGCCAGAGTGACCATTGGATGTGGGGTAAATGTTAAATCTGGGAGCGACGATTGTGAATTATCGCCAAATGGGGATTATTTTTGGGAGTTTGAAAAATGAGATGTTAGATGCAGAATCATGTGGCAACGTTTCAGTAGTGGGGTTTCACTGTAACTTAACATAAGCCATAATCTATCCACTGTTCGCTTGGGGGAGGGGGGCTTCATCCAGCAGTGGATTGATCAGGGTGCATGAGTAGCAGCTGTGCACAATGGCAGAGAAAATGGAACAGAATCTAAAATGCGGCGCTGTGCAGTCTGGCCGCGTGCAATCTGGACAAGGACACCCACAGGCCGAGTGGGGCCCTGTCTGGGTGCTCAGCGTTCTGAGCCCCGTCACAGTGAAGCAGCCCCCTCCTGTGATTTACCGCGCTGCCTTTTTATTGATCAATGCATACCCGCCTCCAAAAAATAATGAAGATGCATTATGATATTATGTTTGCGTTGAGTATATGCTGAGGAAAATCAATCGGAAAGTTGTGCTGTGCGTGCGCGTGGCAGTGCTGTAAATTCTACACGAATGTTTCTTTCTAAGAATGTATAGATTTTTTTGGTGGGGGTTTTAAACGATTGGCCTACATTTTTCCGATGTTAAATTATCGTCGGGTAATCTGAAGGACGATTTTGATGAGGGCACTTTTCAGTCCCGCCAGTGTTCATTTGTCTCTGTTCATCGTCCGTCACGGATTACACGCCCCGCTAAGCACGGTGCTGACATTGGCGATACTGTTGTTACCTTTACGACGGGTCAGTCCTGACCTCTGTGGGCACGTGAAGGCTCTCGTGTGGAGTTAAAGCGATGTACGTGCCAGACACTTCGTGGACCCTGACAACGGCAGAAGAGAGTAGACTGGAAAAGCTTCGAGCTGTGGGTTGTGGTACCCAATTAGGATGGAGAGAGAGTAAATGAGGAAGTTATAGTTCAGGTTTAGGAGGAGAGAAGTCTTGATTCGATGGGTCCAGAAGAGGCTGAAGATATGGGATTGGGCACATTCTCACAGGTGAGAGCTGGATGAAGTTCTGGAAGGAAGGACATTGCCCAAAACGTCGGGGACTTACGAACATTCGACTTTCAGAGATACGAACAAACCTGTCCATATGTCCAGTTGCCTGTTTGGACCGAGAGTCGTAAGTTCAACCCCCGTGCAATAGATGGCGGTGGTGGCATCTAAATCTGCAGAACATGAAGAACCAGTGGCATCTACATCTACAGGAGATTATACAACGTTTAAAGTCATTCCCCTTGTTTAGTGTACATGCCATACAACGTGTTTGGAATCGACAGGAGTAAAGTTGGACTTACGTACAAATCGACTTACTAACAGACCTCTGGAACCTAACTCGTTCCTTTTAAGGCCTCACAAGTGTTAGTGACGAATGCGTTGAGATGTTTTTTGTTATTTGTACTCATGCACCACTGCCAACGCAATGTCACCAAATAATTTGAAGGAATGAAGGGAGGGAGGGAGAGAGAGAGGGAAGAAGAGGGGAGAGGTCATGCAGTGAAATGAAAGAGAAGCTCAAGATGGGACAGGATGGAGGGAGGCGAGGATCTGCCATTCATTGGGCAGAGGACTGCAGAAAAAATAATAATAATAATAATGTGAAGACCTTTGATGGGGAGAATTTCCTGGGATTTAGCGAGGAGGAGGAGGAGACGGCAGTGGCGTGGTGATCGTCTGAATTCCCAGGTGGACATCTGTTGAAAAAGAGCTACATATCTCATGGGATTTCTCCGGGACAAGTAAATCTTCTGAGATTCTGAATTGTCCACTTCTTTGCTGTCGTGTCTCCCATTCCTCCGCAGGTGTTTGACCATGACATCGGGATCCCTGATGACTTCATGGGCTCAGCTCATCTTGACCTTGAGTATCTCACCATCGGCAGGTGATGATTATTTTCTATTTGTTTTCTTATGATCGTTAAGCACCAACTATGGGGGGAGGGGGGGGGGGCCTTCATCCACCAGTTGAAACGACAAGGGTCAGTGCGGAAGATTGGTCAACGGGGACCCAGAACAGTTTCAGGTATCGCTCGCCACTTGGCCAGGAATCGAACTTGGGTTGTTGGATTCACAGCGCAGCGCGCCCACCACCTTGTCGTTTGACCGTAATTGACCACGCTGACTTTCCACCATTGTCCTTGAGCCAAATGGTGGAAATTCCACATTCCTAGGACGAGTGGGCGAGACCATCCATAGGACAATGACTGTTGACCTCCGCACGGAGCGGTACCCATTCAGTCCATCCGCAGGGATCATGGACTAAGTCAGGGGCTCGGCAACCTGCTGCTCCGAAGCCGCGTGCGGCTCTTTAAGGAGCTGCTGCCTCGTGACGTCGCTGCTTATTAATGACCGCCACCATCTCGTATTCACATGCGTTGCGGCTTTTGGCATATTGAGTTTTTCTTTTTTTCACCGAATTTGAAAGAAATGTCTCCTCTTGTTATTTTTGTTGCCGACCCCTGGACCAAGTCAACTCCCAAACAAGGACTTGAACTCGGCTGTGAGCGATTGCTCGTTCTGCCACCTAGCCGGTTCTTTGTTGGCGCCACCGTTGAATTCGTGTGAGAGGACGGTGCTTGGTGTCCGCTGCCTCCCACGGCGGTGGCCAGGGGTGGGTGCGGGGGGATTATGAAGTGGATTAGCGCCGTGGCGCCATGGAAGTTTTTGGCCCTGGCGGATTTACGAGGTGGATTTACGTGGCCACTGTTTTTTTTCTTGATGCAATCTGCTGCTGCTGCGAGTGTCCGTGCGTCACAGTGGTGGCTCGTCATTTATGGGCAGTGGCGCCGGAGGAGCCGCAGGGACTGGTGGGGCCAGGGAGGCCGCAGGGGTTGGTGGGGCCAGAGGGGCTGGAGGGACTGGAGGGGCTAGAGGGGACATCGGGGCCAGAGGGGCTGGAGGGACTGGTGGGGCCGGAGGGGCTAGAGGGGCCGGAGGGGACATTGGGGCCAGAGGGGCTGGAGGGACTGGTGGGGCTGGAGGGGCCATAGGGGCTGGTGGGGCTATTGGGGCTGGGCTACACTTATTCATTGTTCATTACAAATATTTTAAGCTGCAAAAGAGTCAACGTCTTGCACAAAACAAAGCACGGTTTTGCAAAGGCGGTTTCTCGTAACTGGAAGCGATCGGCTTTCTGAGTAGCTCCTGGCAGACAACGTGCTCGCGAAAGCAGCAGGCTTGGGCAAAAGGGGCCCGGCCCCTAGCCCTGGCGGTGAAACGATGGCACTGCCCTCGACAAAAACGGAGTCATTTTTAAGGGTGAGACGTGGGAGAACCTGGGAGCCCTCCACTTGCCGTGCCATGCTGCGCGTCCGCTCGTGAGTTGTCGTGTTCTCCTGACCCATAAGAACGCTCCGGACAGTAAGACGCACCCAAAATTAGTTCAACAAAATCAGGTCGTACACACGCACTTGGCCAACTATGAGACGCACCACCAACTTTTGCTTTAACATACAAGGGGATTAAGTGCGTCCCATAATCCGGAGACTATGGGGAGACTACACTTGCTCACCCCTCCCCTCCTCCTTACCCATTTCTCCACTTCCCCACCACTCCTCGTGGGCTTCTGTGCCCCACCGATACACCAACACCCCCCCCACTACCACCACTCCTGTGTCCACGCAGCACGGTGGAGGTGAGGCTGAAGCTGGAGGACGATCGCAGCGCGGAGGACGACATGGGGGTGATCATCCTGGACGCCACGCTCACCCACAGGGAGCTGGAGAGCAGGGACAACACCCTCGGCGTGCCGGTACGAGAGCGCCCCCTTAACCACCCCTCCCCTGCTGCTTGACGCGCAAGCGCCGTGAGTGATGCGCAAGTTTGTGGCCTCCTCAAACCGAAGTAGTTTACTTAGTTTAACACGTAGGCTTTCGCGATCGTGCATAATAGAGGTTTTTTTGGGGGTTAGATCGCGTCAATATATAAACGTGTCGTTAAAACCCGCCACCACCTGACACAGCCGACTAGTAAGGGTTGTCACGTAAACAGAACGTGGCCAATTCGTCACTAGTACAGCACACCGGTGTGTTGGAGAATCAAGCCACAACATTTACAAGTTTTACGTTTGTAGACTGGAAGCGGGAAAACTTCTTCGCAATTCTGGTAAATCGCTCGATGAAGCTGGTTGTAATCGCCAGCCAAACGGCGGTCTCGAATTGTAAGTCTTGTGCGTTAACTCTCCGACACTCACCGTTGTGCTTAAATAGTAACTAATCGTCACATTTCGTTTACGTGATAAACCTTACTAATTGAGTGTGTCGGGTGGTTGCGGGTTAACGACACATTTATATTTGCGCGATCTAACCCCAAAAAAAACAAATTTTATGGATGTGTGTAATGTGTTCGTGTGGGCCCTCTCCAGCCACTAGAGGCCGCTACAGTGACCACCATGTTAAAAACGATATTTGATTTTTGAATCGAATTGTCACGATCTTGACTCGCGACAGTTCGTGGAATTGTGAAGGGGGCGAATCATCGTGCGAGTGAGTTACATTGCAGTGATTGGCAGCGCCTCTAGCGGCTGCAGAGGTGACAAACCGATTAAAGCGCTTCCAACAATGATAAAATGTAATCGTTTACAGCTGTCTGTCATAAATTTCGATTTAAAGCTTTCGTGACTGCAAGGATTCATCTTCTTTGGTTCTTTCGGTAAAGTCACGTAGAATGAGAATAAAATAATAAATTAATAAGATAAAATAACACAATAAAATCTCACGACGTTTCGGCCACAACACATGAAGGCCACTTGTGTTGTGGCCGAAACGTCGTGAGAATTTTATTGTGTTATTTTATTTTATTAATTTATTATTTTATTCTCATTCTACGTGACTTTACCGAAAGAACCAAAGAAGCTGTCTGTCAATCCATTCCTGGATGACGGCCTGCCCATGCCTTGTCGGCCATGGGTGTTGTTTTGACCATACTTCACCACGCCGGTCATCGCGGATTGGCGAAGGGGGATGCCCAGAAGTGGTTCGGATATTGCTCGCCACTGATATTAGCCGTGGCGTGATACTTAATCCAGATCGCCGAGTTCATAGCACAGCGCGCTAGCCACTGCTGCACTACTCCCGATGACGTTTATAATGTTATAACGTATCGAATGACCTTGACTCTTATTCACGCAATCTGGTTTGAGTGCAGCGTGAGCTTAAGTTTGGACGACGTCAACCGATGGATCGATGCATCGTAACATCATTCTACTCTTATACCAGACCACCGCAGGGCTGCGCGGTGGCCAGCAGAGGGCAGTGCACCACAATCCATCGTTGTACTGTGTTCATATGCTCCCGTGTCCTATTCTCACCCTCCTTCGCCAGCCAGTACTGACCAGCGTGGTGAAGTATGAGCAATTAAACCCCCGCGACTCGCGTGGCACGCGGAGGGCCTCGTCCAGCGGCGGACTGACAAAACAAAGTCATGGTCATGCGCATCCCGCACGGCTCCGTACAGCGCAGCGACACATTCGCCAACACGACACCATGACCAAACTGTATGGAGTGGGTAGCATTGCGATTGACGTAATCATAATCATCATCATCATAACTGAGTACATTTGGTATTCATGCCGTTCTGATAGCGCAGCGCTGCCATGCCATGTTCTAGTTAGTCAGCTGTAGTTTCACATGTAGGGGCGTGGCGGTAGGGAAGGGGAGCGGCATGCTGCTATGTGTAAACCCCAACTGCGTAACTTGGAGGTGGTTTTCAAATGAGGAAGATTGACACCCGCTCCTTCACGCCCACTGTTGAGCAGACGGACGGAGCGTACGCGAGTGTTTTTTTTACGGTTAAATGCGCTCACGGTAATAGCCGGGGCTGCCCGCCGGGTTCGAACCGCGCTGCTGCCCGGCCCCGTCGCTGCCCACCGGCGTACGCGCCTCACCATCGTACGCTGCGGCCATTTCACCCAAGATTCACGCGATATCTCTCTGTCGTGCCGTTGGGATTGAGTTAACCGCTGCGGCATAGATATTGCCGTCCACGTGCGTGCGTGCGTGCAGATGCATGAGCTCCAGTCCATCTGTGGCAGTCCGGGTTTTCCAGAATGCACGTAATGTAGTGCCGATTGATTTTGTGTCAACCAAGGCAGTCTGCGTTTTTGTGCTGAACTGTTGACCCTAGTGGTATGGAAACCCCGGATGGTAAAAAAGAACCCTTCTCTGTCCATATAGAGTATATATATACACACACACACATATATATTTATACACAGGGTGATTAATCATTTATAAATACCCCACTAAACATACTCTTAATAGGGATACATTATAGAGAAATCAATTTGGGAACACCGTTGGCATATCTGGGTAGGAGCACACAGCGCCCGATAGAATTCAGAATATAGCAGTCAGGTTGATTGATAATCCGGCACTCGCTGATTGACTCCGCTTACTCGCCTGCTCACTCGCTCACTGGCAGTCATTCGCCTCCTCATCACTCTTCAATCCCTACTGCCATGGTCACTGGTGCCATGAACTTTGCTTGATGATTTCTCTTCGCATGGTGAAGACTTGGTCTGCGAGGCTGACCGTTTCATCTCATCCACCACACTGTGTTCAACCACCACCACCACCATCCTCACCCACCCACTCACTCGCCCACTGACTCACCACTCACGTCACCCACCCACCCCACTCACCACACTGTGTTCAACCACCACTACCCACACCCACTCACTCACCCACCGACTCACCACTCACTCACCCACCCAACCACTCACCCACCCACCCACCCAACCACTCACCCACTCACTCACCCACCGACTCACCACCCACTCACACACCCACCCAACCACTCACCACACTGTGTTCAACCACTACACATACACTTGCACATCCACTCACTCACTCACCCACCGACTCATCACTCACTCACCCACCCAACCACTCACCCAACCACTCACCCACCCACCCACTCACCACACTGTGTTCAACCACTACATATACACTTGCTCATCCACTCACCCACTCACTCACCCACCGACTCACCACTCACTCACCCACCCAACCACTCACCCACCCAACCACTCACCCACCCACCCACCCACTCACCACACTGTGTTCAACCACTACACATACACTTGCTCATCCACTCACCCACTCACTCACTCACCCACTGACTCATCACTCACTCACCCGCCCAACCACTCACCCAACCACTCACCCACCCACCCACTCACCACACTGTGTTCAACTACTACACATACACTTGCTCATCCACTCACCCACTCACTCACCCACTCACCACACTGCAGGTCACAACGCCTTGCATTCCACTCCCCCCACTCGTTCTGCTCCTCTGCAGAGTTCTCTCTCCCATCTTCATCGTCTCTTTACGCACCCCCCCCCCCCAAAGCTCTTACCATAATAAACGTGTTGCAGTGCTGTTTGTTGCTGGCCACTTGACGTCTTTAGTCCCCGGGGCCTGTGCTCAGCAACTGTGAGTGAAAAAAAAATATATATACATTTGAAAGTCTCTACACGTCCCCGACCAATCTCAACACACGCGTTAAATAATGTACCGCTCACCTCTCCTTAAAGATGTGGAGTCATTTCTTTCACAATATTCAATCAGCCGTTGTGAATAAAGAAGAGGGCTATTAGAAATCAGTGTGGTATCTATAAGTGGATCACCTTGTGTGTGTGTGTGTATATATGTCAAGGGCAGTTAATACATTTTCGAGAATGCGATTTTAAAACTGTTGACAGCACAAACAAAAGCTCATTCTCTTTATGTGTTTCTATCGCCGTCATGCGTCATGTCAAATCGCATACATGTTACACTCTCGGATTATAACGGATGAAATTTGACGCTTCGAAATTGGGGCCAGCATCAAGAAGGCCGGGAAGTGAACCTCCTGGGTTTGAATCCAGGTTTTTTGAGCCGCCCATGATTGAATTGGATTCTCAATTGCATTGAAGTGACGGTCTCGGCCCGGTGAGCTTTAACTGCACTAAGCAAAAAATATATATCAATTTACGTAAAATTTTATTCTGCAATAATTTAATTCCCAAAAATATTGGTTTGACCGTCGCTTGATGACAATTTTAATTGCAGCAGGCAATGTGGGAAAACGCGGCGCCCCCGCCCCCCCCTCCGAGTGTGTGGGTAATAATGTCACTTGAAGGATCTCGTGGACCGTTTTCCATCACGGACGGTGATGACTCGACAGCAGCTTTGTCTCACGACATGACACCGATAGCGCAATTGGTATCACAAGATAACACGTAAAAAGAATGAGATCAACGTCTGTGCCACGATTTAAATATTCCATTCTCGACGCGTTTGGACCGCTCTTCGTGTGTGCTGCATACCACGTTTATTTCCATTGTGTTTAACCTTACATTGCATTTGTGTTTGAAGTTTTTTTTGCTTTTACTAACTGCCTGTAATAGTCCATGGGTCCACGCGAGATATTCCGCTTATTGGTACCGACGGATGTGGCAAAACTTGTTTCACCACCCCCAAATTTTTAAACATTTGGAAATGCTATCGCCTAATTCACCCTCATTGGCCATGTAGATAAATATCGGATCCTTCACCAATCCGCACTGACTCAGTGTGGTGAAGTATGGCCAACACAGCATGTGGAGGTTTTTGGTCTGAAAATATGGATTAAAATATTGCCATAATTTACAATCATTAAGTAAATCGGTACCACTACAGTTTTACCTTGGGGGCACTGGCACAGCTGTTAGCGCGCTGCGCTAACACTGACCAGCGTGGTGAAGTACGGTCAAACGAGCCCCACCATCGATACGGCGCTTGGGGGCCTCCATGCCGCAGATTTGGAGGCCTTCCGTGGCTGTGGATTGTTATACCGAGCCGTCTGAAAGCTTTGCCACTTCGGGCGGTAGCTAGGGAACAAGCTGTGGCCCATGGGCTGTGTGTCCCAGTGTCGTACTCATCCTCACTGTGCTTGTTGTGTCAAGTCGTGCGAATGCGCCCCCAACTCTCCCGGCAAGACGAGACGGAGCTGGCGTTCCAAGAAGGTAAACACGAGGACTGAGAGCGCGTAACGAACGCCTCGGCGACTCGGAGCGCCTTGCACCACGTCTCATTGTGTCGACTGCAATGCCCAGCCTGTGTTTTGGCCTAGACGGGGGAGCCCCTGGAGGCAGCCGTCCCTGTGCAGCAATCGGCGAACCCAGCACCGGCCTGCAATTGGGCGTTAGTGTGCCAGTGGGTGGCGATGTGTGGTTTGTTGGGTTTATTTTGTTGGCACGGGTAAAAATACATTGTGCAATTGATCCACCTTTTCGATGGGGATTTGGTTACGTAAAAATAGAACGTAAAAACATTGCAAAAACATACAAAAACCATACAAAACATACAAAAATCCTACAAAAAACTGACAAAAAGCATGCACAAAAGCATACAAAAACATACAAAACATTAAAAAGAATAAAAAAACCCATATTAAACATACAAAAACATGAAAAAAACATCCAAAAGAAACTGTACATGGTCAAGTTCCGAATGGCAAAGCCGTGCATCAACATCACGGTGCAACCGAAATGCAACGACGCTCGTAAAATGCCATTGTGAGTTTTTTTTTCTCCAAAAATATAATTTGCCATTTTTCCCTTCAATATTTTTCAATGTTTGGTGCCTTGACACGGGCACGCGCCACTGTTGCACACACGCGCAGCGTTCGCTCGACTCGAGCGCCATCAGTGCCGCACAGGTCGCAACTGCAGTCATTGTCACGTGCAGCAGCAGCAGCAGCACAGCACGGGCAGCAATCCCTTAGTGGCCAGGAGAATGAATCCCTTATAATTCGTAAACAAAGAAAACATTTTGGATCAGATCGCTGAATTTAAATGCGTGTCGTAAGCACCTCCTCCACCTGACAGCCAATTCATAAAGTTAATATGTTAATTATGGATCATTATTTATAATGAACAATTAATACAGTTATCAAGAAAGTTTTGAACTTATTAATAGTCAATAAAGTCATACATTTTTTCATAAAATTATTATTTATTAACAATTGATGAAGTTGTCACGCGATTAACAAATGGTGTGCTGGAGAGCGACCATCGCACATTAACAATTGGGTCCGTACTTTTCGCTGATAGTTGCAACCCGCATCATCAGACAAGCTGCCAGAAATCCGAAAAATATCCTCTTGGGAATCCCTAAGTGAATGTAAACTGCAGATGAACTCTGTTATCCGTGACTCCTCTTAGCCACCGATTCGTTCTGATATCCGCAACGGCCCGCTTTTTTCACGGTCACACATTGCCTTACTGTTATCTGATCATATTGCAGGGACGAGTTTACGACGATCGGCAAATCCCGTGTCTTAGTCGCGATTCTCACACACGCGGAGTGGCAATCGCACGGATAACCACGCGGGCGATAGACACCCTCAAAGTTTGACGCCCGCACAATCGCGGCGGATGAGAGGAACTCCCCTGTGTGCGACCGCTCCCCCCCCCCCCCCCCCCCCCCAGTGGCGATTTTGATTTCAAAAGGACGCCTTGCTAATGCGCCCGGGGCGTTCCGGACTACTTTACATCTCCATCAACACATTTAACAAAAGGGAACCCCGGCTATCCCTATAGGCACACAAGGGGAAACTCAGCACCTGGCCCACAAACGGGCATCAGCCTGCCATCAGTTGGGCCGGTGGGGTGGGGGGGGGGATGATTGCTTCGTACGAGAACTATGAACATCGTGCAGCTGTAACTGCGGTTACAGCTGCACGATGTTCATAACGCTGCAGCCAAGCGCCCCTCTCTCTATTGTGTTTCATCTTCCTGTCGCTTTGTTACTAGCGCAGCCGCTGCCTGGTGCTCTTAATCATCTGCGCCGGTGCTTGATCCCATCGCCACATTCCCCGCTGCTCACGCTCTCTGGACGATGACGACACCGCCGCTCGCTGGCGTTACCTGTGCTCGTCTGGATTCTGACCGTAGATGGCTGGGGCAGTCTTTTGGGACCAAAATCATCTTAAGCCGACTCTTCAAAGACACCCCGTCGCCCTGCGGCTGTGGTTTTATGTGAGGCTCAGTGACAGTGTTTTGGGAATTGGGATATCAAAATGCGCACCCACCCCCCCCCCCCCCGTCGTATTTCAGTCCAACCTCCCTCCCCTAAGTTTGCGAATGGCATCACGAGACGAAGGGCGCCCGTCCACAACTCTCGCTCGCAGAGCGGCGCAAATCCTTCACCACGGAGAACGGCCCACAAAAGCGGAGATCATGGAGCTACCTCCAGAAAGAGGGTCTAGAAACGTTTCCCAAGGGAGGGGCAAGGGGGGAAAGGGGGGGGGGGAGGGTGGTCCCGAAATGTAAAACAGTTTTTTTTTAAATATAGGGCCCTACAATAATAACAATAATAAATAAAACCACGTTCAATGTCTTTTCTTTGGTAAGTATGAATAAATATCACGTGTCTCGGTCTCAAGGAGGTGCTGATGACTTTCATTGCCCCTTGGATCTTGCCGCTGGATATCTCTTGAGATCCCTTCAAATGGTCTACAGTCCACGCACGCTAGAGGGCAGCACTTCGCACACCCTGCAAATGACATTTGAGGTTTGTCGCAGGATAGGCAAACCGATGTTTAATTCTCAGAGCTGGAATTTATTAACTCCAGAGCCCAAATTTAATGTAATGATTTTTTTTTAAAATCTTGTACTATTCATTGGCGACCGTGCTACTTACTACACTTGAGGGACCCGGTTGAGCACGAAACCTGGGTTTGAACCCAGGATATCAACGGGTGCTGGCTCAGCCCTTTGACCTGCGGGTTCCAAGCCGCCCGGCCACCTCAATAGCATCACATTTATAAACACTCGTAACGAAATATTCTGTTTCAGATAACGCTAGCGTGACACATTGTTGAGATGGATACATTCAAGGTTGAATTATAATATCAACTGAAAGGGCAAAGCAACCCGATGAAGAGACAGCGCTTACCTTGTAGCTACAACAGCTACGCTATGCCTCCTGGACTGTGGGACATCAGTTTGAAGCTTCAGCAGTGAGCAAAAAAGGCTTTAATTTCACGTTAACGTTGACAATGCAATATGATTTTACGGAGCAATCCCACAATTTGGAATGCACCGTTCGGATTGTTTAACGATGGTCAACGAGCAAAATTGGCATTGAGCGGAGGGCTGGGGATTACGATGCCCGATTTGAGATGACTTTTAGCAACGTCCAAACGTTCAGCCATTCACGGATCTCGCGACGTGTCAACTCGGAGCAGAAGGTGTCGCCAGGCCCTGCCAATATATAGGCCCAAGATCGTGCAGGGCCTTGCGGGAAGTTAGCAGAATCTAAACATGGCTGAGATGCTCACACAGGAGATATTCACTGAGCCTTGCACGCCCCATTGAGCAGGAACCTACTCTTTAAAAGGATTAATACTGGATTGACTTTCATATTTATAACAAAGTACACCTTGATTACATCTATATTAATGCATCTAAATCCTTCTGCTCTTACTGCTGTGCACTGTTGCCAACTTTGCGGTTTCACTGTTAGATATGTAGCGACTGTTTTGAGTTTCTCTCGCGACATCATCTTTGTCGAAGCGACTATCGACAATTAACTTCTCGGTGGCGAGAAGTTAACAACCTCGCCTCGTATACAGGAGGTCGTGGGTTCGATTCCGACCCTGATGCCTGTATATTTGGAGTTTGCATGTTTTCCCCGTGGTCGCGTGGATTTTTCTCCGGATCTTCCAGTTTTTCCCTCCACATTTAGATTCAACATGAGTTTAGAGTATCTGGCTGCTATACAGTTCCACATGATAAGCCGTGGCCAGTTCACTTCTGACAAAGAGCTATATAGCTCAGTGGGCCTTACTTGGTATAAATAACAAATACTTTAAAGTTTAATTTCAAATACTTTGTAACTTGTCTCGTAATAGTATTAACAACCTTAGAAGGCCTACCCGGCAATACGTGGCGACCATTTGTGGTTCAATTGGCTACCCCCCCCACCACCACCGCTAACACTGGATAGCGCCGCAATCTCTAAAACCCCATCACCGTCTCTCTTTCGCGGCCAACGCTTTTGCCGGCATCCGGGGAGCCGCGTCGCGGAAACCCACCCCCCCCTCGCTACGCGGGGGGCCTCACCGCGTCGCTCCTTCCTCCACCTTGCGCCGTGCGCACCCCCCTCCCCCCCAGCGGGCGATGCAGAGCGTCCGGCTGTCGGACATCCACCGCAAGGCGCAGCTGTGGAGCGGCATCGTGAGCGTCACGCTCATCGAGGGCCGCCAGCTGCGCTCCATCATCGACGCGGGGCCCATCGACCCCTACGTCAAGTTCCGCCTCGGCGCCCAGAAGTACAAGAGCAAGGTGAGCTGGCGGCCGTGGCGCCGCTGCCGCTGCCAGCCCCGAGGACACGTCTGGGGCTACGCTCGGGCTGCCGCCTGCTGCTCCGGGTTTGACCCGGTACAATTCGGGAGCTGGCATCGGCAGCTTGGGCGGCAGGAACGATTTGCACCGACGTCTGGCGGCGTTGCGTTGGAACTCTTTAACAGAACGATCCTGCGCTAATACGTTTTGGGGGTTAGGCCAACTGCTATGTGACCGAATCCCCCCCCAAAAAATGTACGGGTCATTGTTTTTGGCAATGAAAACCCTACGTGTGAAGTTAATTTCAGTATGATGTGCAGTGTTGGTAGATCGAAGCCGCTTGTCTGGCCTACCGTGGAAATGGTGGCAATCCCCAAGCTGCACTCAGTGCCCGAGTCACGAAGGCCATGTCGGGCGTGGAGGGTTCATATGACCTCTCCAGCACACTAGAGGTCGCTGTCTTTCCCACAATGTTCCACATGACACTTTATTGAACCACGATCCTGAGTCGTGACAATTCCTTGAATTGTGAAGGGAGTGAATCATCGTGTGAATCCATTACATTGCAGCGACTGGTAGCGCGGCTGCAGCGGTGACAAACAGTACATGGAACGTAATGATAATAATTTAAAGCCCTCTGTCAATCCATTCTTCGGTGAGACTTCGTCACAAACTAATTTCACCACGCTTATCAATACGGGTTGGTGATATCACCCGCCACTGATGTTGGCCGCGGTCGGAAGTCGCACCCCGGCCACCGATGCCCACTAGCCACCGCGACTCTACACCAACAAATTAAAATAACGTGAGCAAACAACGAACTGAAATGTCCAGTAGCTTAAAGGATGAACGAGAGATAACGAGGTGACGTTTATATGACTTGCGAGGATTTTTTGGGTCGCGTGGCCCCTTCGTGATGCTGCCAGCAGCCTCTGTCACTGCAATGCGACTTGGATCGTGAGGCTCTCCATCGCTGACAATTTGTCAAACCATCGGAAGGAACGGGGCATGCAGAATGGTTGATTTACAGGTGGGACCGGCCTCTTGTCTGGGGAACGTGGAATTTCCACCAGTCGGCCCACAAATAGCCCCGCGGCGTTTACTCCCTGCTCCCGTGCCCGCGCCCCCCCCCCCCCCCCCCCCCCCCACCCGGCAGACGATCCCGAAGACTTCGAACCCCATGTGGGAGGGAGCAGTTTGAGTTCCACCTGTACGAGGACCGTGCCACCACCCTGGACATCTGCGTGTGGAACAAGTGCACGGGGTTTGGCCGGCGCGACGAGTGCATCGGAAGGTGAGGCTCACTCTACTTTATTATTATTATTGCCGCTGCTGTTGCTATTATATTATTGCACTTATTGACCCGGGAGGAGGGCCTCATTGGGTCTCTCAATGCTATTGTGTCAGCAGGGTCTGCTAAGCAATCCCGGTGGGTGGGAGATGTTAACTACATCGCCTGCTATACAGGAGGTCGTGGGTTCAATCCTGGCCCTGACGCCTGCTGTATATTTGGAGTTTGTTCATTCTCCCCGTGGTCGTGCGAATTATTTTTTCCTCTGGGTCCTCCGATTTTTCCCTGCACATTTAGAAACATGCGTTTAGGGTATCTGGCTGCTATACATTTCAACGAAGTGGTTTATCCACGCGACACGCCACTTCGTCGGTCGCTTCTGAAAAGGAGCTATATAGCTCAGTGGGTCTTACGTGGTCAAATTAAAATTAAATCGTTCATAGTTTAGTTTAGTTTGCAGCAGTGGGCGACGGTCGCTTTGCATCTCTCCAATTTAAGTCAATTTTTTGTTTGTTGCCAGCTAGCACCGTGACGCCGGCACACGGCGGCCTACTCGCAGACAGCGTGAATGTTATGGGTAGTACGCCCGCAGTGTTGGGAGGTGGTGGGTGAGGGAGTCTGGGGGGGGGGGGAGTCGGGGGGGGGGGGGGCACGCCGCAGCCAATGTTAAACAAACTTTAAACAGATCGGTGTGAGTGTTGTGCCGATTCTCTTGAGCTGCAGCAGAGGTTGTGGGCGATCTCTGAACCGACAGGAATTTGAAATCCGTTCAATATTATTCCTGACATTGTTCATGCCTTGGCTATGAAAGCTGAGAAAGGGGGGGGGGCAGCCAGACAACCCAATGTAGCGGGGAACCCTCATGAAAAAGTGTCTTGAGACTCGGCAAGGATCTCCTGGCTGAAAAAGGGAACACCCAAAGGGCGTCGTCGTCATCGTCACCATCATCATCGTGAATGTTGTTCCGATTTAGTTTTTCTTGTCTAGAAGCGGGTTCTTTCCCCGTGATGCCAGAGCGCATGCACGGTGGGGCTGGAGTGCGCACCGCGTGTGCGTGCACGCGCGCAGGTGAACAAGCGTTCCAATTTGTTTTGACGAGCATTAGCGGCCGCTAATGCGGGCGGGCGGGGGGTGCGGGAGGGGGGGGGGGGGGGGCCCACGCCCAGCCATGCGCGCACGTGCGCGCTCCAAAATTGGCGGTGTGCATTTCACGTCAGCGACAGCGCACCCTTCATCTTTATTATATGGCAGCGCCGGCTTCGTATTACGAGCCAGCTGCCTCTTGATAGCCCCTGTCCATCCGCCCGTCTGCCGGGGCCCGCCCCCCCCCCTCTCGCCCCGCACCAACTCTGTCGTCCGTATAAGAAAAAGAAAATAGAGCCCCTTGTTTCTCACGCACCAGGATCCTGGCACTCGTGTGTCAGGGGGTCACGCACGCGTAGGTGGTCTCGCCCGCGAAGAATCCGGCCTCTGTGAAGCGCAAACAAAGCGACGTTATTCGGCGGCGGGCGGCTCGAATTCCGCCTCGCGACGCGCGCGGAGGAGTAGAAAGGCGCTCGCGATCGAGCCAAATCGGACGTAATGAATCGCTCGATTGAGTCTCGATGGTGCTTCCAGATTAGGCCGAGGATCGCCTTACCCCCCCCCCCCCCCCGCCCACCCCAAAACCCGCAGGTGTGGGCGGTCACCGCCCGCCGCGGGCTGACGGCAGGAGGGTTTCGCCGCCGAGCTCCTAATGCGTAACCGTGGCTCTCGGCCCCATTCACCGCCGCTCCCCGTGACCCCGGCGCGAACCAATTTGAAGCGAGGGAGGCTCCTGTTACAGTGGTGGTTTTTCTTCTTCTGCTTCTTCTCTGTTTCTTTTCGTGCGTACTTTTTTCTCGCTCTAAATTCGAGTAGATTTTTTTTTGTCCCATTTGTCACCACCGCTAGTACCGGCGTCGTGAAGGTCTCTCGCAGAAGCGGCGCAATCTATCGCGTTAGAGCGGCGTCCGTTAGAGCGGCGTCCGTCAGACCAGGGTTCTTCACTCATCAGCGTGAGGGCCGCCACACATTTGAAACCATTGTTGGGTTTGTGACAGCAGCAACGTGACGGGGGGAGTGTTTTCACATCTGTTGTGTATTGTTGGGCGCCGCACTAAAGGCCACCAGGGGCCGCCAGTGGCCCGCGGGCCTTGCAATGCAGAACGCTGCGTTTGAGAACGGCCCGCGGAAGCGGATATTGCAGAGCAACCTCTTGAGTTTCCTTCCTCCCAGTGACCTCCGGTCTACGCAGTGGAGGGGGGAAGCACTTTCCCACCCGCTCTTGCCAAACGTATGCATGTTTACTCCCAGACCTTGGCTTTAGCCAATTTTAGTGCAGAAACAATTTTTATTGAGAGTGGAAAAACTTCTCAATATTATCTGTGTTCACTGTATCACATGGCGTTGTGAACAAACAACAAAAATATCACAAAAAAGCACAGGTTAAGTATTCGAGGACAATTGAGCTTCGAGTGTGTCAATCGATAAGCCGAGGTTTGAATTACGCGGCCGAAAAGCTTGAGACGGAGTCGCGGGCTCAGGGCTCAACAACGCGGAGCCGCCTCTGGAGGTGCCGCGGGCGCTTGCCCCCGGTGGTGCAGTGTCGAGATGCGTGGAGCGGAGATCGTCCACCAGATGGAGCCCTGACCCAATAGGAGACAGGCGTTGAAGGCAGCGTTGTGCTTCCCGCACTTTTCAGAATCAACATTATATACAGTACTAGCAGTACTACCCGGCTTCGCCCGGGACTTGGATTCACCACACCCGGCCGACTTTGTCTCCCCAGTGGCGATGTTCACACCACAACAGTTAATCGTTTGAGGCTGAGTCGACCTAAGGGAGGCCCAGGACCGGTTCAAATAATCGTCGCCGGTGGTGGCCGTGAGCGGGAATCGAACTCGGGTTGCCGGGTTCGTAGCGCAGCGTGCTAACCACTACACTACAATGCGTTACGCTTCCACATGCGAGGGTCACGTGACAGATTTGACGTCACAGCTCACTTTCCGTGCAAAAAATATATGCATTATTGAGCTCCCCCCCCCCCCCTAAAAAAAACAAAAGTGTATTTTTATAATTTTTGCATGGTGTACAGTCTGGAAAGTACCCACATGGAAAATTTCAAGTTTGTTGCATGTCGGGAAGTACGCTAAACATTTTGAACAGACACACATAATCACAACTTTGCCTTTTATATATATGGAGATTTAAAGCTATAAACAATTTATTTTTATTTTAGCAGGTAAGGCCCACTGAGCTGTGTTGCTCTCTTTCGGAAGCGACCTGGCCACAAATGATACCTCAACGAAGCGGCTTATCGCGTGGAAATGCACAGCAGCCAAACACACTCAACGCTCGACGTTGATCCTAAACGTGGAAGGGAAAAACCGGAGGGCCCAGAGAAAAATCCACGCGACCGCAGGAAAAGAGAGAGAACACGCAAACTCCAAATATACAGCAGGTGTCAGGGATCGAAACGACGACCTCCTGTAGACTAGGCGAGGAATTTAACATCTCGCCACCCAGAAGTCGGTGAGCTATGAAGCTCCTATTCACCGATATCCGGAATGTCTTGGCAGCAGTGGCGACCTCTTGGTTCTTGGCTTGAGGAGGTGTCCTGGAGAACGCGATAAACCACACCATTGTTTCACTTATATTATTATTATTAAAATCTTATTAATGCACAGTAATTATGCTGTATATCTCATACGTTAAATGTTAAAGGGAAAGTCAAATATGTTATTTAGCCGTATTCTATATTTTTTTTACCTCGCCTAGATTCGTGAAAAAATATATTTTTGTAAACATTATCTTCTATTCTGAATGACTTGATGTGGCCCAAATAAATAAGACAATACCCCCTCCTTCCCATATCTGACCCTCTACAATTTTGTTTCTTTATAATCGTAGTTTTTTTTTTACACATCCCATCAGCACACGCACGGCCATCTAACGGTGCATAATTTCGGCTGCATTTGTTGAACGCAAAGAAATCCTCGACCCCGGTGTCGGGTATAGTCGCCATCCGGCGTCTCATCAGCAGTGTAACCTGGGTGGCCCTCGCAAATCAGCAACAACGTATGTGTTTCAACGGGCCTTTATTTTCCGCCTCCTCATTGAATAACGGGTAATATCGTCCAGGCAGTAGTTGTCTTTTGCTGACTTTAAGGAGATTAAATGGCTGGATAAAGTGAAACGTACTAGAAGCTGTCTATAAGCAACACACCCCTTGTATGTATGTATGTTGAACTTCTTTCGCACCGTATGTAGCCAACCATACTAATGGGAGGTGCGGGTGATCATTCCCCCCACGACACCCTTGGTTCCGTCACTGCATCATGCGTGCAGTCGGGTGTGCCGTAGGGCCCTTTAGCTCGGACGGCCACCATCTTCACACACACCACGCCTCAGTCGGCCGTGGTCTATGATCAGATCTGCGCAGTAAACTGTAACAAAGTTGAACACAATAACGGTACCAGGTCTCGGCACGAACCAAAATCCTGCCGCCCCAACGCGGATACCAATTCCCGGCCTGTCGGGGTTAAACCCGGAACAGGTGGCGACCCTTGGTTTGCCGGTTGCTCTGGACAGTTGGGACCGTTCCGACCGGCTGAGTCGAATCCCTGCTGCCCGCGCTAAACCTCTGCCCCTCCACTCCGTCTCTCCCCTCCCGCCGCAGGTGTCAGAAGGAGCTGGCGACGTTGACCAAGGAGAAGACGCACCGGCTGGAGGTGCCGCTGGAGGAGGGGGAGGGCAGCCTGCTGCTGCTGCTCACGCTCACGGCCTCGAGCGCGGTGGCCATCACGGACCTGTGCGCCAGCCCGCTCGGCGACGCGGGGGAGCGGCGCTCCGTCGTGCAGCGCTACGTACGTCCCGCACGACGCCCGCTCCGACTGTTGCTCCCGACCGATAATTTGGAATTTTTGCGAGGGACAGAGAGTTAGCCAGGGGCGCGGCAAACCGCAGACAAGCGGGAAGGCAGCCAGAGCTGGCGCCAGCAATTGCCCGAGCTCTGTGATCCTACATTGGGACGTTTGGCCAACTCGGCGAACATGTGTTTAAACACGTGCGAGGAAATCGGAGGCTCGAGAGAGGCTGTTATGCGGCTGCGGGCAGGCGGGCGGGCGTGCGGCTGAGAACAAGGGTTGCTGTTGTTGTTGTTCGGTGTCGCCGAAGGGCAGGGGACGCCGGGACGACACTGCGAAGGATCGCTGAAGAATGGAAGAGTAGCCTCAGGATAACGTGCGTTTGTGGTTCTCGCAAACCCACACGCAATGTGCACACTCGTATCCCTCTAGCTCTGAAGTTGGAGATTCACCAAGCTTACTCTCAAAAAATTACATGGTAATTAAAAATAATAGGTTAACTTAACGTAGCTATATGTGCTAATTGAAGGTGCGAATATTAGTCTATGCGGAGGACTGTTGTCTGTTTATTTATTTTTATGCTTAAATTGATGGATGGAACATTTCCTGGCGCAGCCACGACGTGTCCCCGGTAATTTGTACGTTTGAAAACTTTTGTGATATTACCGTGCGACGTAATGAGATCCACCGGGATCTCAACGACGTCCCTCACCGCTGTTTGACGTCGCGCAGCAAAAACCCTTTTGGACTCACATGTTTAACCCTCAAACATTGCAAATTCAAGATGGATGATGGCGATGATGACATTTGGAAAAGCCAAATGGGATTCACAAGAAGTCGCGCGCATGTTCCTCCTCGTGAAAGACCCGACGATGCAGAATATCGCTGGCTTTGATCTTCCATGAAGATTAGGGGGCCACAATCCTAAACCGCATCTGCACACAAACCATAGCAGCAGCAGATGCGGATACTCGATCATGATGATGATGATGATGCACAAATAGAAAATTAAAACTCTCCAGCAACTGAGGTCATACGAAACAGACCGTGGAACATATAACGACTCGATGCCCGGTTCACGAACACGAAGGAGACTGTCACCACAGCGGTGCACCGCTCCGCTACTCCTGATGCAATTATCTGGCTTAACCACCTCAATGTAAAATTACAGCTGTTGCTCTACATCAACATCAGCCGTAGGAAGACGAAGAAGAGTGTGACAACATTCTGTCCCGATAAAGCTGCACATTTAAATTGATTACAGATGTGCGATTGCCAATTAAACACTCCGCGCTCAACGCAAAATGCCAACGCATTTTCGTAAATTTTTTTTTTTTATCTTATTAGCTATCTCCGTTAGGACACGCTGTAAATTTCAAAATTGGTCATCTTCCCGATTTCATCTCGCTTGTGTCTCTCCCCATAAAACGGCCATCATCCTGAAAAGGCTATTTCCGTGGCCCCCGCGCGCACACGCTGACAGTTTTGTTTAGCCCAGGGCCGTCGCGACCGCCGCCTGCCACTCCGCCAATCGCGCCCTCGGCGTCGCAGGCCGGGCGGCACGGCGCGGGCTGCCACAAGTCTCTCCCGACGTCTTATTCCGTCGCGGCTTTTTAATTAACCCCCGTCGCCTCTCGCAAGATGAAGATTACGTTTAATTGCGGCCACGCTCTGCGGGAGCACGCTTGTTTTTATCCTAATGCTCATGTCCCGCGTTGTGGCTGCGAGTAATTATCCGGCTACTGATTTGTAACAAGATGACCTTTGATAAGTGATTAATGCCATTAGATATTTTATGAAATAATTGTTATTTTCATCTTGTTCACTAGTTCCATCATCATCACCACCACCATTAGTCAAGGTCTATCCACTACTGTGTTGCCTAACGTGACGTGGCGTGCGTGCCGCTTATCGCGTCGTCACAACAGAGAAGGCGGCATCATACCACGAGCACGTTGTGTTGTGCCCTTTGTCAGGGAGGGTGACGAGGTGCTGTGTCACACCTGTCGCATGGTTGGCATGGGCCACTGGCGGAAGGCATCCGATGGGGGGAGAGGCCCCCTTCCTGCCCAATTTCTCCCGCTGTTCGTAGCCTGGCGTCTGGGCCCCCTGTGACACGTGGTCACCGGTGCAGTTGCACCGCCTGCATGCTCGCTCGACAGCTGACGCCACCGCCGCTGAGATTGTGGCGTCTCCGAGGAGGGATTTGTGGCCTCGAATCTCTGCGGGAGTCACAACCCTCTGCGTGGTTGCTGTTCAGATGCCTCTGGATGCGCCACTGTGCTGGACACCACGAGGGTGGCATTTAATCCAGAAAACGAGAAACTTATAAACATGCGCAGACCTTTTGTCAATCCGCGGCTGGATGACGGCCTTCCCATGCGGTGCGGGCCGTCGGGATTCTTATTACCACACTTCACCGCATTGCTCGTTGCGGAGTTGTGAATTTCGGCAGCGTAGAGAAAGGCACGGCACTGGCCTCTGCTGCCCGCGACGTAGCGCGCACAGCCCCGGAGCCGCCTACGGCAACCGGGCGTACACAGCGGTCGACCCATCTCAACGCTTGCCTGGCTCAGATCTGCGGAGCAGCCGAGATCTGACGAGATGGGCTCCGTTTCGGGGGCCATTGGGTCGTCTGCACCGTATTTCAAACACGGCCGATTAATTAAAAAGAAACCCTGAGCGAGGAGGGATTTAATTGATCATTTCGTTGATCGTGATCGAGGATCTCGCGCGTCATCGACTGGAAAGGGCGACTATAGGAAGGTGCAACTCGGCTCCAGAAACTTTGAAAGCCGGCGGCGGCAGCAGCGGCGGCGACTTGACGGCAGGGCTTCCGCGTCGGCGTCTTTATCGCCGCAAAGTTCCGAAACTTTCAAAAGCGCGTCCCAGGAATCCCGGGAGGGAGGGAGGGGAGGGGGTTTTAAACGAGATGGGCAGCGGATAAGGAGCCCACGAACGCTCCTCGTGTCACGTTGAGATTCCTCTAACTAGAAGTGATGTGCGGTGAGCACAGATATGAAAGGATTTACTTATAAGTGAAATTACGGCTCGCGACGGCGACTCCTCGGCTGTCACTTCTAATCAGCCCCGCCGCTCGCAGCGCCGAGTGCAGAGGGGAGCGGAGGCTGGCGGTCGTCCGACGTGCCATCCCCGTCTCTCTGTCGCGCCACGAGCCTTTTTTTATTTTTATCGTCCTCCATCGTACATTGGTTTTTGAAAAGAAAAAAAAATCTTTCAGTGACATTTGCAACAAGGCACTTTTGACTGCGATAGCATTATCCTAAAACATCGCTCGGGCAGCAATGCGGCGTTTGGAGATGGAGCGAAATCCAATCTGCAGTCACGTCGATGGGATTGTGCGTGGAATAACATTTCTCCGGCTCATGTTTAAAATATATATAGATATTACAGTTTGATTAAGTAATTGCTCCTATCAAACAGTGTTGTTTATATTATTATCAAAATATGAATAATTTTACAAACACTAAACTAAATATTTTATCTCTCATGTATGGTATGCAACTTGTAGAATGAAATAACTGAAACATTTGGATTTATGTAGGATCAAATTTCAATCACATCTCAGCCTCATCTTAGAAGTTGATCGGCCTGATGCAGAGGACCAGCTACACTGGTGGAAGTCTTGGGGTATCCAAGCCACGAGCGAACGGGTCCCGTGGTTATTGGGTAGATTATAGACACGGTCCACAAAGCTCTTTCCCCCAACCTTGTCACATATAAGAGGGCTTCCATTGCACTCGAATTATACTAAATCTATGGTGCCACTGACGACCGACCCAGTGCTGTCTGGGCCAGCTGTTCGTGCGTTGCTGCGTCTTTAAAGTTTCAGTTTTCAGTTTCATTTATTCGGTATAACCCTGTGAGCCATGCGGCTCTTGACTCGGGTGCAACCGCAACAAAACAAAAACATGAACAAGAAACATCTTAAAGTGACTGCAGGCAACAGAAAAATCCTGGAAAAAACAGCAAAGTCTCCCAGAAAAAACACCGCATTTCAACGCTGTGTGCAAAGCTCCCACTCCCTTCATCGGCACAAATCTGCCCGTATGTCGCCTTGCTGAAGGGAGAAAAACGCAGACTCAAAAACGTGTTGAGCATGCCCCTTTGGCCACATCTGAGCGTGCCGCGGAGTGCCCGGGCACTCGCCGCACCCACATCGGCCGTGCCCCCCAGCTCTGACGCTCGGCCTACGGGCGCACAGGGAAAAAAATGCTCGCGGCTCTGCCACCGCTGCATTCGTCCACGACGTTCGTCGAGCCACGGATGCCAACCTCCCCTCCCCCCCCCCTTGTCTCTTCCCCAGGCGCTGCGACAGTCGCTGAGCAACGTGAAGGACGTGGGCTTCCTGCAGGTCAAGGTGATCCGGGCCGAGGGCCTCATGGCCGCCGATGTTACAGGTACGGCTGAGGGCCGCCTCCTCCGAGCGCGAGCGAGCGCGAGCGAGCGCGACGGTGGATGAGCGCGACGATGCGCGACGGTGCACGTGCGCGATTCTCGCCGTCTCGCCCCGTTTGGCGTTGCGTGGGTCGTCGTTATTAAGGCGCCGTGGAAATGATCGCTGTTCCCAACGCGTCCTGTTGCGTTGGGTTGTGCTTTGCCGTTTACAGATTTGACGAGAGCATGGAAGAGTAGCTCAGTGCTCCGGGTCTCTGAGCCATCCAGTCACCTCTGTTTGGAGTATTTTGGGAATTAATACGAGGAATAAAATGTATAGAACGTTTGTCAATATTCTGCTATAATGACTCCTACCGTTGATATTTTGCTCACGGGGGTTGTTTGACCATACTTCACCACACTTCTCAGCGAGGATTGGGAAAACAGGAAGCTCAGGACTGATTCATTATCGCTCGCCACTGATGTTAGCCGTGGCTGTGAATCGAACGTAGCTTGCCGATTTCGTGGTGCAATGCGCTAATCGCTGTCGCACCAGTTCAGTTCATGCTGCTGAATTGCCCGTGTCGCACCCTGTTAATGATCCACACACTCATGGCTCCACCTTCTAATGATCCACACACTCATGGCTCCACCCTCTAACGAGCCACACACTTACCCATGGCTCAGCCCTCTAATGAGCCACACACTCGTGGCTCCACCCTCTAACGAACCACATAATAACCCATGGCTCCACATTCTAATGATCCACAAACTCATGGCTCCACCTTCTAATGATCCACACACTCATGGCTCCACCCTCTAACGAGCCACACACTTAGCCATGGCTCAGGCCTCTTAATGAGCCACAGGTTTACCCCTAACTCTGCCAGGTTTCATTGGCACTGCCACGGTGCGCGCGCCCCAACGCGATGTGGCAGGCGCGGGGGAGAGCGTGCCACTTGCTAATTTTCCAATCCGTGCCTTCCTTTGGGGTCCATAATTGCGTTTCATGGCTTTTAGCTGCTAACAGCGCAGGGTTAAAAAGAGGTCACCTGTCAATCCAGCTTTCCCCCCGTGTGTGTGTGTGTGCGCGTGTGTGCCTGCAACATGCACAGCCTCGGCCAGTGTAATTAATAATAATAAATAATTGAACGTGCTTTGACGAGCCGCTGGTGGGTGAAGGCCTAACCACCCCGTGTCGCTCAGCGGGTTATTCTGACTATACTTCACCGCGCTGGTCAGTGGAGGGGGGGGGGTGGTTTGTGCAGAGGATGGGGGAGAGGTGCACACGTGACCGGTTCAGATTTCGCTCGCCCCTTACGTTAGCTGCGGCCTGGAATTGGTCACTGGGTTTGACCAATGCCATTGGTGAGTGTTTGGCGATTGCGAGGACACCACCGTGAAAGATGCATTCATTCAACCTTGCTGCATCTCTGTCTGCGATGCACCAGCCCGCACCTCCAGAGCGCTGGCTCAAAGGGTCTGTGCAGGTTTTGTGCAGCGTGCTGGGTTTTCTCCATGCTCTTTGGTTGCCTCCCCGCATGAAACCAAATTCTTGAGTGTGAAATTTCCCGAACGCGCGAATGTAGCAGGGCCCTTGTGTAAGCGAGTTTTGAGACTCCGTTCCGTGTTTATTATTCTCCCCACCATCACCAGCAACATGCCATGGATGGGTGGGAGGGGGGGGGGCGGAGGCCTTCATCCAGCAGTGGATTGATAAAGGGTTTCAAATTGATTATTTTGTTGTTATCGACCGCGCCGGCAATCGTCGGTCACGCGCCGTCAAGAGCGTGGCCGTCTGCTTCGCTTCACGCGACGCTTTTCCCTCCCGTCCTGGGGATCGCGTTTCAAAAAGTATTCGCCACCCCCTGCAAATGAGCGGCGATTCTGTTTAAAACAAAAAGAAAAAAGCGGCTCGTTACTCCTGGGTTACTTTCCGGGAGGACGTAATCGGCGCTGTGGGGACCTCTCGCGCCACCGTGACCCCACACACAACGTCCCCCCTGCGCTGTAAACAAATACCCGCTTGTGTGCGCGCGGCTGTCTGCCCGCGCGTGCAAGCGTGCCAATGATTTTGCGGCGGCGACATCACGTTACGTCCGCGTTACGTGCGTGGATGTGTCGGGGGCCCCTTCCGCACGCACGGCGCTACGCAGCCGGCGGAACAAAATCTTGAACAGTGCGCACGGAGAAGAAACGTGGAGGTGACGCGTGGTCATAATAGCATCGAGAGAGACGGGAGCGTGCGGATCGGGCAACGGACGTCAACGTGCCCTCGCTCTGTGACCACTGCGGGGATGGAGCAGTGGTGTCAGTTCATGTGCAGGAGTGAGATGCAGTATTGTGTCGCAGGAATTTGAGGGCTGGTGATGTCTTTGGGAGGCGTTCTCATCCAGCAGTGGATAGACTAAAGGATGATGATTCGTATTTAATTGCTCGTGGTTAATGTTATGGATGCGAGTTTGGATCGTGCTATCGTAGCATGGCTGTGGTAGACGGAGACGTCTTCAGGAGGCCTTCATCCTGCAGTGGATAGAGTTCGGATGATGATGTGGTGCCCACCGCACGTTGCTCCCTCGCAGGGAAGAGCGATCCGTTCTGCGTGGTGGAACTGGGCAACGACCGTCTGCTCACGCACACCGTGTACAAGACCCTCAACCCGGAGTGGAACAAGGTGTTCACGTTGTGAGTATCGTGCCGCGCAATGGTGGCACCCACGGATTGGGTGGGTGCAGTGGTGGTGATGACCCAATGGGAGGGCCCTAAGCAGAAATAGATTTTTTTTGGGCCTCCCCCTATTCCCCCCTCCTTTAATTGTATATATTATATAGTCCAGGGGTTGACACCCTGTGGGTCCGGAGCCACGTGGGGCTCTTTAAGGATCGCTTCGTGACGTTATTTATTAAGGACCACCACCGTCTCTCGTTTTCACGTGCAATTGCTGCTCTTGAAATATTGAGCTTTTTACCGAATTCGAAAAAAAAGCCTCCTCTTGTTATTTTCGTTGCCGACCCGTGATACAGTCCCCTAGGGAGATGATAGAAGAGATGTAGATAAGAAATCGAGATGTCGTGACACGGGAGACGCTGACATGATTGAGGCGTAAGCGATTAATTGGCTTGAGACGTTCATGCGGATCCGAATTTGAGATCTTTGATGCGCCCATACTTTTTTTCCTTCTTCCACAAATCCGATGCCCCTTGAGCTTCTTGAGACCCCCGAGCTTTTGCGTGGCTCTGCTCGCACCCCGTGGGAGTCTCCTTTCGCACGACCATGGGACGTCAGCGCGAGGTCGAGAGGTCAAACCCGACCTCCTTGGCCTCCCTGTAAAAATTACCGATCCCATGGCTCTCTCTCTCTCTCTGTGTTGATAAGAGCGGGGCGAGAGTTAATTGAGGTAATTACCTCATTGTCTTTTATAAACCCCCGGCCACAGGTCAGTGGAAATATCTGGCCTTGGCCAAATTCTTCACGCGGGGTTGTTTTTTTTTTAACCCCTCTGCTGGGTTTTCCTGCGATCACTGAAACCGCTCGGCACTCGCCCCGTGTGCGAAACACCTGGCGTGCGTCTGCAGACTCGTCGCGCGTCAAGCTCGCCGCGCGGCGACGGTGATGACGATCGGTGGGGCCCCCGGCAGCGCCAACTTGGGAGAGCCGGGGGCCGCTCGCACGCGCGATTTTGCGTGCCGGGGATATATAATCGCGGTTTGCCGAACCACGCCACTTTTCCCAACCACCCCCCACCCTCCCCAGCCGGCAGCTAAGAACGCTAATGCAGATAATAAGAGCGAACGCATTGCTCCGAAATGAGCAAGGTGAGGGGGAAGTTGACAAGGGAGGCGATGGGAGCGAGCAATGGGGAGAGCGCTCGTGACAGCACAGCGGACGCAGGACCGACGGTCATATAGTCTTGAGCAGGGTATCGTTAGGCGACTCGCACAGGCTCCACGCAGACTCGCACTTCGCGGGAAGTCATTCGTCCGGCAGTGGATTGAAAAGAGCGCCTCCAAATGGTTGCCGTTGTTATTATTGTTATTTAATTTGGCAAAAAAAATGCAGTTGAACACGGTAGGGCTGTCGCGGATGAGGTCGGTTTGCTAGAATGTGCGTCGTTCACGTGGGGTCGTGCTTCCGCTCCTCCGGTATATACCTGTGCAGGCTCATATCCAATACTCGGGGTGGTTTTTGTCCGCTGGCCCGGGTGGCCTCCCCTGGTGGTCTTGGGAACGGCCGGGCTCGCCCGTGACCCGGCCAGCCGAGGTGATGACGGCGCCCCTTCCCCCCCCTTCCCCTCCCCCCCCCCCCACCCTCGGTGGACGTTCCCCCTGTGTGCGTCGTCGCCCTGTTCAGTAACCTGAAGGACATCCACTCGGTGCTGGAGGTGACCGTCTACGACGAGGACTGGGACCGCACCGTCGACTTCCTGGGCAAGGTGGCCATCCCGCTGCTGTCGGTGAGACCCCCAGGGAGGGTTTGCGGGCAGAGATGGGATGGAGAGAATTATATTGGGGGGGTGGGGGGGGGGGTAGTGTCACTTTAAGGGCCCCCTCCCAAGCCCCGAGTTTATTTGCTTTAATTGAACTCCGAGGGGCTGTTTGGGGGAGTGTTGCGCCAGCACTAGGCGAGTCAGGATGCACCGGCCCATCGGTTGATGTCAATTTTGTTGTTTCATCAACGCGTCGAGTCACGCGCGTGAGAATCGAGCGTTCACGATTTATGCAAAACGGAATGCACGTGAACACACGAATGGCACAATTATACCGGCTGAGTATACAAAAGGTTGCAAATTAGATGGCACGAACAATACAGATTTCTAATTCCAACACAACATGCACAACATTTCCAATGGTCACGGCTAGAGTATGCTTTAAATGAACCGGCGGTGTGGGTCCATTAACTATGCAGTTATTTATGCATGGCACGATACAACGGTGCATTTTTTTTTAATCAGCACTGCCCTCTGCTGTTGTTTCGCATCCTATTGTCGACGGGCACGTTTCTCAGTAATTGTTTTCGGACACGTTTAAGGTCGTCACGTGGAGCCACGCTACGGGGGGGTGCTGGCGGTGGCGGGGGGTGGGGGCATGTGGAGCCGTTCGCTGTTTAAATGACTCGCCCATCCGGACCCTGCTCCCTCTCAGGTGAAGAACGGGGAGGAAAGGGGCCTTGTGCTGAAAAACAAGCACCTGACCGCGTGCACCAAAGGCACTCTCTTCGTGGAAATGGAAGTGATTTACAATCCGGTGAGTGGGGGCCGTGCCCGTGTTGTCCTGTGGCTGCAGCAATTCCCGGGAGGCTCAACGGGCAAACCACGTGGGGTGGGCTGGAAGCAACCTCGGCCTCCCGTCAGCACCGCCCCACTTTTCAATAGCCACGCCCACTCGCCCACTCGCCCACTAGCCCACGGCCACTGCCCAACAGGCTCCACCCACTCCCCTGTCAACCCCGCCCACTACTCGGCGTAGCCACGCCCACAGGCTGCTGCTCCATAATAATAATCATTTACATGTATTTGTAATGCGCCGTCCACTAATGTCTCAAGGTGCCTTGTAAGAAAGGCCAAGAGGGGAGAACACAGGGACAGCTGCCACTGATGGGGTCCCCTTGGCACAAAATGCAGCAGGGAACTGGAATGGTTGAGATGGCGTGTGACGTAACACAGATGAGATGTGAGATATCAAGCCGACTAGAGTTTGCTTTCCATGGGGTTATCACCTGATGAAATGGGGCCTATTATTATCATCACCATCATCATTATCTGCAATTATCATTAGGCATGTATGTCGAACTTCTTTTGCACCGTACGTAGCCATCCATGCTAATCGGAGGTGCGGCATAATCGGCTCTATGTGCTCTTAGATTGTTGGCGTTCTCTGGTTTAATTCCTGGTGAAACAAGTCCCTAAAAGAATCTGCCTCTCGGGTGTAGGCCAATCGGTTTCGAAGACGTACATCATCAGAGCGTGTTTGTTTGCATGCTTTACCGCAGGCATGTATGATTAATGCACGGTCCGATGCCTCGCGATATTTGCTGTTTCAACAAACTCAACACCTGCATCCGTTGCCGGATAGGGTACCGGAGCCCGTTGCCCTTTCATCACCGTAGCCACCGTCGTGGTTCGCCTTTTGGTTTCCAGGTCAAGGCCAGCATGCGGACATTCCTACCCAGGGAGAGTAAATACATGGAGGAGCACCCGAAACTCTCCAAGCAGGTAAACGGCATCAACCCGCTGCTCGCGACTCGTTGCCACTTGACCGTGTGGCAGCAAGTGACACTTGCGCCTCGCAGTGAGAAGGAACCTAGGTTTGAGACCTGACTGGGGCGCCTTCCTGCGTGGAGTTTGTATGTTCTGCATGTGGGGGGGGGGGGATTTTTGTCTTTGTCCGGCGTGCGCGTGCACGCACGTATCTGTGCGCGTGCACGTGGGCACGCACGTATCTGTGTGTGCACGTGGGCACACATGTATCTGCATGCGTGCACGTGGGCACGCACGTATCTGTGCGCGTGCACGTGGGCACGCATGTATCTGCATGCGTGCACGTGGGCACGCACGTACGCGTGCGTGCACTCACGGACGCTCGCTTGCTCGCACGTGCGCGCGAGCGTTCGCTTCTTGTTTTTTCAGCTGCTCTTGCAAAACTTCAACCGGGTGCGGCGGTGCGTGATGGCGGTGGTGAACGCCTTTCACTACATCAACAGCTGCTTCAACTGGGACTCTCCTCCGCGCAGCGTGACCGCCTTCATTGTAGGTGAAACGCGAACACCGTGACCTCGCTTCAACTCCCCCGTGGCCCCTGGGGCTCAACTCAAAGACAAAGGCCCCCCCCCACCCCCCGTAGCCTGTAACAGACTGATGGGGCAAGTGCCGTTAGCGAGTAGCAACACCTATAGAGGCCAAGACAGCACACGAAGGAGGTGAGTGGCGAACACCACGCCCGGCCGCCTTTGTCTCCCTCCGGTGGCAATGTTTACACACCGCGCCGGCTACTCATTTGAGGCTGAGTCGACCTAGGGGAGGCCCAGGACCGGTTCGCATGATCGTCACCGGTGTTCGCCGTGAACGGGAATCGAACTCGGAGCGCAGCTCACATACGCACGCACACGCACACAGCAAAGACGGAGGTCCCCCCCCGTGTCGCCCTGCACAGGCTGTTGGGGCAAGTGCTGTTGGCGAGCGACATTTTAAGGCCGGCACGGTTTATGAGGGTTCGGCTGGGACCACGCCCGGTTGGCCGCCATTGTCTCTCCGGTGCTGTTTCTGCGTACAACACCAGGGACCCATTTTAAGGGTTTTTTAGACCTACGGGAGGCCCCAGGACCGGTTCAAATAATCGCCGCTGATGATAGCCGTGGCCCGGAATCGAACTCGAGTCATCGGGTGTACAGCATGGTGCGTTCACCATTGTGTCACCCAATCATAATGACAAGAGTGCTCTCACTCAACCAGGAAACCCCCACTTCGTGTCGAAGTTTTTTTTCAGTAAGGTTCTGCTTTGGGGTGCTTGGGCAGTTTTATGAAAGAGTTTTACTTTGTGTGGGAGGAAAGCAGAGAACAGGGCCTCCGGGTCCATGGACCAGTGAGCTAACCACCACGCTAGGACTACCTAGTTCATACACACATGCACACAAAGACACGAGGGGGTGGGTGACCAGCACCACGCCCACACACAAAATACAAAGATTCCCCGTATAGCCTGAACAGACTGTTGGGGCAAGTGCTGTTAGTGAGCACCTATGAAAGGCCGGCACGGCACACGAGTGGGTGAGTGGCCAGCACCACGCCCGGCCGCGTTTGTCTGCCCAGTGGCGATGTTTACACAACACACAAGGTACTCATTTGAGGCTGGGTCGACCTAGAGGAGGCCCAGGACCAATTCAGATAATCGTCAATGGTGTTGGCCATGAGCGGGAATCGAACTTGGGCCGCCAGGTTCGTAGCGCAGCACACTAACTGCTACCCTACCACTCCTCACGCGCACGCACACACACCCACCCGCACGCACACACACACACACACACGCATGCACGGTGCAGGGTTGCGCACCCCACCATACGGGGGCGAGCTGGGAGATGACGGGAGGCACGCACTGACATCGCGAAAGGAGATGACTTGAAACGGGGTGGCCGTGACGTTTGACCCCACGGTGGCTGCCCCCCCCGCACCGGCCGCCTCTCCCACCCTCCCGCCGTCCTTGTGGGCTGGAGGTCTCCACGGTGTGCCGCAACTTTGCTTCTGTTCCGCCTCTAGACCGCACGAGGCCGCCGTGCCAAGCCGGCGGCGGCGGTGTTGCGGTCGCTCTCCGTTGTAAGGGCGGAGGAATTCACCTCCCATCACCCCCCCCCGGCCGCCGCCCACACACCCGTAGCCTCACTTACTGCCTCGCTCACTCACCGGCCCTCACCTGCAGTCACACACCTGCTCAGTCAACCATTCACTCATTTGTGCTGTCTCTACGGGCGGAATGAGTCAAGCCCTGCCTGTCCTCCGATTTGCCAAATTGCCACGATTCTAAATTACGATTCGATCCCAGAATCAGTGTTTTATATATATGTATAGTGATTGTAACCGCCTCTAGTGCCTCTAAGGGTGACAAATACCTAATTAGAGAGAATGTATAACAGTTAAAATAATAACAATAATTTATAGCATCTCGTCAATCCACGGCTGGATGAAGTCATCCACTCACCGTGTCGTTCATGGGGTATGTTTGGCCATACTTCACCGTGCTGGTCAATGCAGATCGGTGAACTGGTTCGGCTATCACTTGTCACTGATGTTAGCTGTTACCAGTGATGGAACTGGCAAACAGCTGTGCCACCTCTCCCCTACGTGCAACCCACACAATCAATTAAACTCCTTTCATTACATTCGTGATGCGAGGCATTGCAATCACAAGCTTAATGATTGACGCGAGTCGATATCTTCTCCAATGCTATACTCAGTAGAGTACCTTTACCTGCACCTATGTACAGTGCGAAAGAAGTTGAACATACATACAAATCTTTTTTAAAATTTTATTTTACCAGGTAAGACCCACCGAGCTATAAAGCTCTTTTTTCAGAAGCGACCTGGCCACAAATGATAGCTGAACAAATGTGGCTTATCATGCGTACATTTATAACGGCCAAACACTTTCAACGCACGTTGATTATAAACGTACCTGGCCCACGCGTTCCTCTTGTTACACACACACACACTCTGGCCCCGTGCTCACTGCATCTCTTGATCAATGCCCAGAGCCTCTGGCTTGAAGTGTTGCGACTGTGTTGTGGCATTGGCAGTCACGTTTACTTGGACACTCCTCGTGCGTGCGGCCAGCGGGTACGTCGCCCCACACCGCGCTCGCTAGGAGGCAGCACAAGACTGCGTTTGAATTAAACTCTCTCACGCGGAGACCCACACGCGCACGCTCTGCATGTGGGCGCTTCGCTGAACGTTTCATGGTGTTACCCTATGCACATTTCGCTCATGGTTCACCCTACACTGCATTCGCTGCACAAACATGGCAGTAGATGCGGATACCTGATGAACAAATGGAAAAATTAAACAAAACTCTCCAGTAGCAGTGTGTGACTGTGGTCATCCAGAACAGAGACCGTACAAGGTGTAATGACGCAATGCCCCGATCCACAAATACGAAGGAGACATTCCAGCGATACACCACTCCGCTGCTCCTGACGCGGTTGTCTGGGCTTGACAACCTGAATGTGAAATTGTAGCTGTCGCTCTGCATCCACATGAGCCGTACGAAAGAAGAAGAAAAACACTTTGCAGACGGGTAACATCGTCAAACACCTTCGATACGCCGCGATGTTGCTGCCTGCTGGGCACTGCGATGGGCTTGATGATGGCGAGAGTAACCACGAACAAATCCGCCGTGAGAGCGACTGATATTGGAAGCTTGGCAAGGTTCAGCCGCTGTCCTGGAAAGCCAGGTGTGTTGAAGGCCTGGGCTGCAAGGTGGGTAGGGGATAAGTGCAGCAATTGATTCTTGAATCCATCCGTGTGGTGCCTTGAGCATTACGGATAAGTTTTCTCCAGGTCCCTCAGTTTACTCCGACACGCAGCCAAACTTTCACTCGTGGCATTGGCCAAACATCCCAATAGGGGACCCTGCTTAAAAGAGCCTTGAGACTTTGTTATTATTAGTGTTGGCGGTTATGGGATTTGATGGAACTTGTAACGTTTATTTGATGGGAGCTGCTGCTGTAAGTGTTGATAGAGGTTGCTGTAAGCGATGTCAGGTGATGGAGTGGACGATGGGTGTTGATGGAGGTGGCGACGGTCGTTGATGATCTAAGCGACGGTGGTTGTTGTTTAGCAGAAGTTGATGGCCCTGCATGTTGCGCGCAGCTGTTCCTGGTGTCGGTGTGGAACTTTGAGCTCTACATGTTGCCTCTGGGTCTCTTGCTCCTCTTCATCTACCACTACGTCATGCTGGGAACAGGCAGCCCCCAGGAACCGGTGAGTTACGGCCTGGACACTTCAGCTCACTCCACCGAACGTTCCGGCACAGTCCCGGCGGTTTTGGACTGCAGGCTGTCGTCCCACCACCACTACCACCGCCCCCACAGTGCCTTTAGTAAGAATCAGGAATTTGTGCCCAGTTTTTTTTAAATGTTCTGGCCTCGTGCTTGACTCACGATGCGGGCAAAGAGACGTAGGTGGCCTCTGCAATGGGGTGGAGCTACCTGAGGAGTGGGCGGGGTTACCTGAGTAGTGGGTGGAGCTACCTGAGTAGTGGGCAGGGCTACCTGGGTAGTGGGGGGAGGGAGGCTACCTGAGCAGTGGGCAGAGCTACCTGGGTGGCTGAGGATATTGCACCGTGCTCACTGCAGCATTGCCTAATGTGAAACACAATGCTGGATGAGGTCAACGTGAAGCTACCAAGTTTCTGGGAGGCACAACAAGGATACATGGATACATTTTTGCCCGTTTTTAAATCGCCGCGCTCACTCAATCACTAGCCCGGGGCACGTAGTGTCAGGCCATGGATTGTCTACTTCATTTTCCTTGTTTGACTCGTTTGTTCCAATAGCCTAAATGTTAACACACATTGCGTTAGTCATAAATAATCGATCGTGTTTTCTCGCACGCATTATTCAATGCATGTATTCTGAGCAAGCAAAGTATTTAATGTTGATCTCGGAATTGTAGGTATGCATGTTGAACTTCTCTCGCGCCGTACGTAGCCAACAGTGCTAATCGGAGGTGCGGGAGAAGGACACCAAACTAAGCACAAAAATCAGTCCTAAAGAAATGAGTTTTCAATCAAGATTTATAAATGCATAGCTCCAGTGATATTGGAAGGAAAGAGCGTTCCAGACGGCCGCAGAAGCGCATCTGAAAGCACGCGATGCGGTGACCACCGTCTTTGTTCGATGGCGAGCAGCCAAAAGGCGCTGCCGCTGCCGCTGCGAGGATGAGCGGAGTGTCGCGTGAAGGTTCATGCTCTTTGACGAGATCAGCGAGGTACCGTGGTTCATCTGTGGCGAGCACTCTGTGCGTGATGAGTGCGACCTTACAATTGCCCCATTGTTGCTTGCCTCACATTGGTTGCGTGTTTCTGCAGTGTGTGGTCGAGGACATGGTGGTGGATGATGACGACGATGATGAGAGAGACGACAAGGTGAGCTTAGCGGTCTGCTGCAGTGCAGTGCAATACATTACAATATATTTATTTTGTTGCCTATATTCTCCACAATGAAACACATGATTGTGTTGTGTTACTATCGAGCAATTGGCGTTTAACTGTCGAACAGAATCAGAATCCTTATTTATCCTGGAGAAATCCGATGAGCTATAAAGCTCTTTTTCACAGATGTCCAGTCGGCGTGGGTCAGAAAATTATAACAACAAACACTACGAAAACACGATAGGAGTGCAAAGTATAGGAAAGGTTAGCAAATCACTGTAAATAAATACATGTTCTTTAGGTCTTTCGGTAAAGCCACGTAGATGGAAAAATAATAAAAATAATAATATTTTTCTATCTATGTGGCTTTACCAAAAGACCCAAAGAATATGAATTCCTGCAGTCACGAAAGCTTTAAGCCAAACAAATGTTCTGAAAGTAAACAAATGTCTATTTTACCAGATAAAGCCCGCTGAGCTGTTAGTTATTTTTCAGGATCGACTTGGCCACAAATTAGAGCTCAACGGAGTGGCTTGTCAAGTGGAAATGTATATCAGCTATAAACGACTCTAAACGCGTGTTTCTAAACGTGGAGAGTAAAACGGGATCCAGAGAGAAAAAACAAAATCCACACGACCATGGGGAGACCATGCAAACGCCAAATATACAGGCGTTAAGGTCGGGATGGAAGCCATGACCTCCTGTACACCAGGCGAGAAAGATAACATCTCGCCATCGGACAGGCTCCTTGCCTTTAAACGTCTGTCAGTTCACCAATCAGTGGTTCAAAGAAGCCTGACTCAGCTCATGAGACACCGAATGTCAAAACGGGTCCAGAGTTCGCAGAAGCCAGCGTATTGTCTGCTGGTTTATGTTGTCACTTGTGTTTTCTGCAACGACGTAAGTTATTATTTCGTGTTACGTACAACACTGTGCGTATTTATATGGCGCTTGAATGACCACTCATGCCTCAAGACCCTTTGGGTTCACCTCGCTTTAAACTCTCCACATTTATTTAGCCCATTTGCGGGGGCACGTGACGATGAACTGCGTGGCGGGTTCACGTCCCCTCCCTCCGCACACGAACACCGCCGTTTCTCTCCCCCGGCCGTCGTTGAAAGTCATTCACTCCGCGGGGAGACCGCTCCGGCCAGACGATCACGCAGCTTTTGCGGATAAAAGGGCAAGGTTGCTGAACAACGACAGCCCATATATATTATTGTCGTTTTCATTTTATTTGCGGGTTAACTTTAAAAAAAAAATATATATTAAACATGAGATTATATCTGTTCCCGAGTCGTGGATAATTCACCGGATGTTATGACAGTGAGGTTCATTTTCTTCGGATGCCGATGGGGGAGGCGATGAAAAAACCAGGAGGCATTTGCAGCGTCGAGCAAACTTTGCGGGAACCTTTCACGTAACATTTTTACCGGTACGTCGAGCGTAACCGTGACAAAAAAAAAAAACCTTAAAACCCAACCGCTAATACCGTTGCTATTTCCATTTTGTTATTAAATTAACAAAGTCCATTGTTAATACCCAGAGATTAAGAAATTAATTAAAAACACAGTGTTGGAAACAGCTTGGGGTAATTAAATTTCTCTTTCAAGGCGGCTCATTAACGGTGTGTTATTAGCTGTGAAATCTTGTTCTTTAAACGCTCTCCGAGTTTGTAAGGCGCTGGGACGTTTTCTCAGCGGGGGGGGGGGGGGGGGGGGGGGTGGTTGGTGCGGGCCGTGCTGAAGAAATAACAAATTGTCTGCGGGTGCCGGGTACCGGGTGCCGGGTGCCGTCGGGTGCCGCCGGGTGCCACCGGGTGCCACCGCGTGCCACCGCTAACGGGGGACGTCGTTGCGCCCGGGCGGCGACGCGGCAGGGCGGCACCGGAGTGGCTCGGAGGTGCCGGGCTTCTAAAACCTGAGCCAGCACTGCCGAGGACCTGGGCGCAAACCGCGGTGTTTCAGCCCACCTGCGCTAAAACCGAGTTCTCAGTTGATGGCCTCAGCCCCCCGGGGTCACCAGTGAGCGGAAGAAAAAAAAAGGAATCTCGATTTCAATTTGTTCTTGGTCAGATTCCTGCATTACTGTCCGCTTCAATGGTAGTTGACGTCCGTATGTATGCTGAACTTCTTTCGCACTGTACGCAGCCAACCGTGCTCATCGGAGGCGCATAAAAATCCCCTGACATCATACGCGAGCGTGGGCCGTTGCGTGCCAGCGTCAGGGGTCTAATTTTGCAAAGTTCCCAAAAAATGACACCGTACGTTATTCAATTTGGATTATACACGTAGCGTCAGTCTGTCCCCCCTACTGGCAGACTAATGCCCCAGGTCACTCTGGCAAATTAGACTCATCCTGGAGTCTCGAGTTTTTCTCTGGTAGAAACTCTCCAGTAGTGTGCAACTGTGGTCATCCAGAACAGACCGCACAAACGTATGACGACACAATGCCCCATCCACAAATACGAAGGACGCATCGCATCTCTAACACCCCGCTGCTTCTGACGCGGTTGCCTGGGCTTGACCATCTGAATGTGACATTGCCGTTGTTGCTCTGCGTCTACATCAGCCGTACGAAAGACGAATGAGACCTTGGTAAAACCAAAATCAACTTGCTGATGTTGCATGTGCGTGCGTTCATGTTCGCACACGCGTGTTAAAGTTCACACGTGTGTTCATGTTCACGCTCGTGTTAAAGTTCACACGTGTGTTCATGTTCACGCTCGTGTTAAAGTTCACACACCCGTGTTAAAGTTCACACGTGTGTTCATGTTCACACACGTGTTAAAGTTCACACACCCGTGTTAAAGTTCACACGTGTGTTCATGTTCATGCCCGTGTTAAAGTTCACACGTGCGTTCATGTTCACTCCCATGTTAAAGCTCACACGTGCGTTCATGTTCACACACACGTGTTAAAGTTCACACGTGTGTTCATGTTCACGCGCGCGTGTTAAAGTTCACACACGTGTGTTCATGTTCACACACGCGTGTTAAAGTTCACACGTGTGTTCATGTTCACACACGCGTGTTAAAGTTCACACGTGTGTTCATGTTCACACACGCGTGTTAAAGTTCACACGTGTGTTCATGTTCACACACACGTGTTAAAGTTCACACGTGCGTTCATGTTCACACGCGTGTTAAAGTTCACACGTGTGTTCATGTTCACACGCCCGTGTCAAAGTTCACACGTGTATTCATGTTCACACGCGTGTTAAAGTTCACACGTGTGTTCATGTTCACACACGTGTTAAAGTTCACACGTGTGTTCATGTTCACACGTGTGTTCATGTTCACACACGTGTTAAAGTTCACACGTGTGTTCATGTTCACACACGTGTGTTCATGTTCACACGTGTGTTCATGTTCACACACCCGTGTTAAAGTTCACACGTGTGTTCATGTTCACACGCCCGTGTCAAAGTTCACACGTGCGTTCATGTTCACACGCGTGTTAAAGTTCACACGTGTGTTCATGTTCACACACGTGTTAAAGTTCACACGTGTGTTAAAGTTCACACGTGTGTTCATGTTCACACACCCGTGTTAAAGTTCACACACGTGCGTTCATGTTCGCACACGCGTGTTAAAGCTCACACGTGTGTTCATGTTCACACACCCGTGTTAAAGTTCACACGTGTGTTCATGTTCACACACGTGTTAAAGTTCACACACCCGTGTTAAAGTTCACACGTGTGTTCATGTTCACACACGCGTGTTAAAGTTCACAGTGTGTTCATGTTCACACACGTGTTAAAGTTCACACGTGCGTTCATGTTCACACACCTGTGTTAAAGTTCACAGTGTGTTCATGTTCATGACCGTGTTAAAGTTCACACGTGCGTTCATGTTCATGCGCGCGTGTTAAAGTTCACACGTGTGTTCATGTTCATGACCGTGTTAAAGTTCACACGTGCGTTCATGTTCATGACCGTGTTAAAGTTCACACACGCGTGAGCATTTGAACACCTAAATTGCGACGTTATTTCCTCTCGGAGATCGGTCTGTTGTTAAAAAATTGTAGCCTCGTTCAAGTTTACATTTTTTAAAATTATTTTTTTTATTATTTTAAATTGTCCGTTCTTAAATGCATGTAATTGTTTGATGTTACAGAGCGATAAGTCAAGAAATATCTTAAGTGTGTGCTCTCCGGTTCCCTGGGGTTATGCCTTTGCCCAATCCTGGCCAACGCAAGAGTGCATTTTGATTCTCCCTCTGCCTGGCAAATAGAGTTGTGTGCGTAAGTTGTATTGAAGCGACCAACCTCCGAGCGATTACAGGAGCGATTGCACTCCTGGAGCGGCGGGACGAGTGACTTTTGCGACGACGTGTGAAAGGTGGCATGGACCGAAGGTCGCACCCCGGCGACCCCACAGAAAATCTCTTTCGGACGAACACGGGCGATGCCGTGGTTTATCACGTAAAAAAAAGACGAGAAAAACACTCGGAAAAAAACACGACGACTGGGGCTCGTGAGAGTTGCGATCGTTACACGTTGGTTTATACGAGTCTTTTTTTTTTGTTTTACGCTTGACGCGTTTGATTAGCGAGCAATTGGTCCCCCCGCTGGGGAGGGTTATGCCGGCTCAACGCGCACTTGGACCAGCAGTCGCTGGGAGCTGGGCAAACGACGGGGGGAGGAGGTTGTCCTCCTGTGTGTTTCGCGTTTGTTCGCGGGAGTAGGTGTGTTAATAATTATAATTTGTCACATCGGTACGCAGCCACTCCGTTTGCCTTTGATCTTACGGGGAAGAAAAAACTAAACTTAGCAACACAAAAATGGGTAAATTGAATTAGAATATCTTGGGCATTAAAAAAAAAACCAATTAAATTACTCGCGCTGTGGTTACACAAATATGTACTCGCAATTATAGGCGCAGGTGACACCGGCGCTCAATGCGCCACTCATTTACGACCATCGTCAACAGGTTTTTAACGTCCATGGTGCGCTTCGGTAATTCCCGTTCACTGTGCAGCTAACCGATTCAAAACCGGCTCGGGCTCAGTGGCCGACGGGTCTGACCACACATCCGGCAATGGCTCAGCGGCCAGCGTTCCAAACTGGCTGCGTGCGTGTATGCGTGCGTGCGTGCGTGTATGCGTGCGTGCGCACGTGCGTGCACCGGAGTGAGGAGCGGAAGTGTAGCGGCTAGCGCACTGCGCTACAAACCTAGCCACCCAAATTCAATTCCTGGTCACGGCCAACGCCAGTGACGATTATCTGAACCGGTTCTGGGCCTCACCCTAGGTCGACTCGGTCGCAGATGAGTACCTGGCGTGGTGTGTAAAACATCGCCGCTGGGGAGACAAAGGCGGCCAGGCGTGGTCCATCCACCCCTTCGAGTGCCGGGCCAGGCCTCATAGGTGCTCGCTAACAGCACTTGCCCCAACAGTCTGTTAAGGCTTTATGGGGGGTCTTTGTGTGTGTGTGCGTGCGCGCGTGCGCAGGACTCGGAGCGCAAGGGGCTGATGGAGAAGCTGCACGCGTTCCAGGAGGTGTGCATCAGTGTTCAGAACCTGCTCGGCCGTTTCGCGTCGCTGTGCGAGAGCATCAAAAAGTGAGCGTCACCCTCCGGACGGACCGCGGCTGTTGGGCAACATTTTTTTTTTAATATATATTTTGTAAAAGAAAAGAAAAAAAAAACAATCCACAGTGTCCAAAGTATTTATATATAAATAAGGAAAAGTTTTACTTTAAATGAGGGAGTGAAGTTTGACTGATCAGGACGATTGCAAAGTTGCCGAGGATGTGTGCGAGGGAGGCGTTGAGAGTAGGGTTCACTGCCCCAGTGATGAGACGAGTTGTCACAAGTCGGGGGTCGCCAAATTTCATTTGAGAATCCTTGAGGTGGCCCGGGGTGATTCGGAGGTTGGAGCATTGAGCGGCCACCACTCAACGGTCCTGGGTTCGAATCGACGTGTCAGCTGCCCGTGACTAAACCCTGATGTGTGGAGAGTTGATGATCCCCAGCCCTGTCACACCGATGACTGCACAGAAGAACAATAATCCCATGGCACTCAATTTAATTTTGCACTTTTTTATTTTTCGTCTTAATTTGACCTCGTTTTTGTCATTCGTCGTTTTTCTCTCTCTCACAAAATTTTGTCCACCCAATTAGCCAAAATATTAATTCGTCATACGCATATCATTTATTTAAAAACTTAAATAAATAATTCTCACTTGCACAATGTGATGTCTCTCGCGAGAATGTTAATTGGTATTTAAACTATTTGTACTTTCCAAGTAAATCCCACTGAGCTCTATGGTTTCAGAAGCGACCTGACCACATATTGATAGCTCAAACGAAGTGGCTTATCATGTGGACATTTCTCGCAGCCAAATACTCTAAAGGTGCGTTTCTAAATGTGGAGAGAAAAACCAGAGGACCCAGACAAAAAGCCACACGACCACGTGGTGCACGTGCAAACTCCACATATACAGGCGTCAAGATCGGGATCGAACCCACGACGTCCTGTATACCAGGCGAGGTAGTTAACATCTCGCCACTGTGGCAGTATTAGTTGATGATGCATGCATGTGTTACGTGTCTATGGTGCTGGTGCCCATAAAGTGGAGAAACTTTGCGTCTGGCTGTTCACGAGAAACCTTAGGCTTGGAACGGAGAGATTCATGGTCTCGTTGTTACAGTTTTATGAGATTTCTCTTTTCACGACTGGACAAGCAGTCAGGGCGGCCAAAATTTTTGCAGATATTGCATTCCAAAACTTTACGCTCAGTCTCCAAAAATTGGCTGAAATAAATGTTACTTAAAAAAAAATATATGAAAAATTCAAATCGCACACTGTGTGGCGGAGAGATACGTTTATGGCCGACAAAATGACGGCAAGTTGGGGACAAGTCTGGCAGTTTGTAAAATGTTGACACTGATTTTTTCATTTTTTGTTACATATATGTGTACATCAAGCCCTGCAAATGTATTTAATTTTTTAATGATTTTTTTCACCATCAAATAGAGTTGACAAAACTCATTTCAATTACGTTTCCAAATTGGCGCCGGACGTCCTCGTTTTTTTACTCCACGGCTGCCGAGCGCAGGTGACTCCCCGATTATTCCCCGGGACTAAGTTGCTCGTCGTGGTTCAATCAACGTGCGACGGCGCTCGCGACCTCGCCAGACCGCGGGAGCCCCGCACGGTTGAGCCCGCATCGTGCTTGCGCGGGGTGACCACCATGCGCACCAGGTTGCCATGGGCCTGGGGTCGGCAACCCGAGGCTCTGGAGCAGCGTGCGGCTCTTCAAGGACCGCTTCGTGATGCTATCTATAAAGGACCACCGTTTCCTCGTATTCACCGCGTGCATTGCAGCTCTTGAAATACTGCTCTTGTTATTTTGGTTGCCGAGCCCTGCCATAGGCCGCATTGCAGGGCTGCACCGCGTACGTGGCGGTCGCCAGGAGGCGGTGCTGCGACATTTACCGTTGCATTTTTTGATTTAAAGCTTTCGTGACTGCAGGGATTCATATTTTTGGTTCTTTCGGTAAAGTCACCACGTAGAAGGGAAACAATACAATAATAAAAATATAAAACAATAAAATTCCCCCGACGTTTCGACTGCAACACAAGCAATCGTCATCAGGTGTGAAAACCACAGCAAGAAAATTTGAAAAAAGTGGCGGTTTTTTTTTAACGTTAGCACCATGGAGAGCGATTTGGCAGTTTGTTCAGATGGACGAGTCCATCTATGTTCGGAAAAGAGGAGGGGGGAGACGAAAAATAATGCATGCGGTCTGAAAGCCACCTTAAGCGTGATCAATCAATTAAGACCCGAAATGGTTTATCAAATATTTCCAATGATTGCTAAGCCAGAAACCATCTTCTCGGTTGAAATTGTCTCTGTGTTTGTATATGTGGATAGTCTCATGAACGAATCTCTCATGGTAGCCAGATGGCTTACAAAGAACCTCTGTCTTGGAAAAGTCAATGTCATGTGAGCCTACTGAATTATAACAATGATCTGCCACGGCCGAGGTGTTGGTCCTACCGTGTTTAAGGTCTGCTTTGTGTTCACGAATGCGGTCCGAGACATGGCGTTTGGTTTCTCCAATGTAACTACTACCACAGAGGCAACTTAGTTTGTTGACACCAGGGTACTATATGTCCGGAATCACATCTTTTACAGATGGAACCAGATCACGGATTTTATGTAATGTGTTGAATCGGACCTGGATCTTGTGTTTATTCAAGATCTTTTTTGTGATCCCCGCAATGTAGGGTAAAGTGATGGTTTTGAAAGGCTCCTCAAGAGGGTCCTTCTTCATGGTTGGAGTGATAGCTTTGCGGATTGTGTAGTCGGAATAACCATTAGCCTTAAGAGCTTGGTGTACGTGCTTGAGTTCACTGGCTATGTGTTCCTGGTCGGATATGCATTGGGCTCTATGGTGCAGAGTCTTGATGAGGGAATTCTTCTGGGATGGATGGTGGTGAGAATCCGGTTTCAGGTAAGCATCCGTATGGGTAGCTTTCCTGTAGACAGAGTAGCTCATTGAACCATCAGGTCTCTTTTTCATTATTAGAACATCCAAAAAAGATAGCTTGCCATCTTTTTCGACTTCCATGGTAAATCTGATGGCTGGGTGTATAGAATTGATGTGGTCGAAGAATTGGTCTAGAGCAGGCCGGCCATGTGGCCAGATGACAAAAGTGTCATCCACGTACCTCTTCCATAAGGTTGGGCGCAGAGTGGCAGTCTGGATGGTGTCAGTCTCAAATTTATCCAAGGTTGTAGCCAACATTTTCATGGATTCAACACATTACAAATCTGTGATCTGGTTCCATCTGTAAAATATGTGATTCCAGACATACAGTACCCAGGCGTCTACAAACTAAGTTGACTCTGTGGTAGTAATTACATTGGAGAAACCAATCGACATGTCTCGGACCGCATTCGTGAACTCAAAGCAGACCTAAAACACGGTAGGACCAACACCTCGGCCGTGGCAGATCACTGTTATAATTCAGAGTAGGCTCACATCACATTGACTTCTCCAAGATAGAGGTTCTTTGTAAGCCATCTGGCTACCATGAGAGATTCGTTCATGAGGCTATCCACATATACAAACACAGAGACAATTTCAACCGAGAAGATGGGTTCTGGCTTAGTAATCATTGGAAGGATTTGATAAACCATTTGGGGTCTTAATTGATTGTTCACGCTTACGGTGGCTTTCAGACAGCATACATTAATTTTTCGTCTCCCCCTTCCTCTTTTCCGAACATAGATGGACTCGTCCATCTAAACAAACTGTCAAATCGCTCTCCGTGGTGCTGACGTTTAAAAATAAATAAAGAAATACAAACCGCCACTTCTTTCAAATGTTTTTGCCATTGGTTTTCACACCTGATGATGACTGCTTGTGTTGCAGTCGAAACGTCGTGAGAATTTTATTGTTTTATATTTTTATTATTGTATTGTTTCCCTTCTACGTGACTTTACCGAAAGAACCAAGCACATCTACCGTTGCGCTGCACTCCTGTGCTCCTACGTCACATGCACTGCCCACATTCTGAGCGGCATGGTGAAGCATTGGCATGGAGGAGGGCCCTCATCCAGCAGTGGATTGACAAATGGCAGTAAATGACTGTTGATTAGTTTCTATTTAAATGGAATGTGCACGACCGTAATGTTACCGTGTTGTGCTGCTGTCTCTGTGTGCTGCTGCTCGTGCTGCGTGCTGCTGTGTGCTGTCGCTGCTGCGTGATGCCGCTGCTGCGTGATTCTCCTGCTGTGCGGTCATTCTGCTGTGCTGCCACAGCACGTTTAATTGGACGGTGCCGTTCTTGTCGTGGCTGGCCATGGCGGTCCTGGCCGTGGTCACACTCGTCCTCTACCTCGTCCCACTCCGCTTCATCGTCCTCCTGTGGGGTGAGCCGCGGCGGCACAGCGATCGGGGTCGCAGGTGGCATCACCGCACCGGAGCCCTGCGGGCCGGAGTGGCCCCCTCCGGGTGCCGGGCTACAAAAAGGCGGGGGGGGAGGGAGGGTGGGCAGGAGGAAATCGGTACACGGGGGAGGCCCCGTTTAAATCCTCGTCGCGGGGCCCCGTGCCAGCCACGCCGCTGGGCGAGCGGTGCCATTGGGCACGGTTGGTGTCGGGGGGGGTGGGGGGGGTGGGTGACGGGTGCACCGACCTCCTTGGGCTCGAGTGGATGGGACGGGGGCTGTGTTGTGTTGGGCTGCGCTGAGCCGGCCCGGGCTAGTCGTGGAGTGGGTGGGTGGCTTCACGGGTTCACAACGACATGATCCGGGACTTTGTTGTTTCTTACTCCGCGGAGTGCGGCAGCCCCGCCACTGGAAAGTGTGAGAGTGCGGCTCTGACATAAAGCGCCGCCGATCCTGGAGGCCCGTCCAACTTTAGTTTTATCGCTCTTGTCAGATTTTCGCCCGCGTGCCTGGGCTTCGTTGCCGGTCGAATGTTATCGACCAGCGTATACACGCGCGTCGAGTAAGCCCGTGCAGGATACCGGCGGCGAGACTTCACCGGGATGTTTCCGAGCGGCCTCACCGCGGGCGCCGGCTTCCACGCACGCCCCGCGTCGCATTCACGCCCGTCCTGGGGGGGGGGTGAATAAATAATTAAACAATAAACGCTACAGTTGTCTGAACCGCGGAGGTTAATAAGATCTTTGGGGGCTGTAAAGCGGAGTGGCCTTCTTTTCGTGCCGGCCCTAGCCCAGTGTCGATCCAATTGAAACAGCAGCTCTTCGGAGACAATTAGCGGGAGCCCGCGGGGACGGGACGGACGCGAACGTAAATGATGTGAATGAACTCGCCGAGAGGACGAATAACGGGCATCGAAAACACCCACGGCTCTGGCGTTGCCGGAGTGGGATTAACAAACATCTCATTTTTGCTCCGCCGGGCCTCGCCAGAGTTGTCAGGATATTGCACTTGCGAGTCGCGCGGGACAGAGATGAAATTGACGAGCATTACGGCGCTGTCCAATTACGATAATGAAGTTTGCGGCGTGATGCGGAGGCGATAATGATAGAAAGTCGTACAATTGAGCAATTTGTCACCTTTCATTACTTCACACCTCGCAAATAAAAATAGAGCTCACGAGCACATGTTGTTGAGCTTGTCAAAGCCTGGAATAATAAATAGTGATGGTGGTAATAATTTTCAGCTGCTGTCAATCCTTGGCTGGATGAAGGCCTGCCCCACGCTATGTGTTGGTGGCGGCGGCAGCGGTTTGGTTTTACGTCCCCACGATGTTTCAATGCAGGTTGGTGTAGCAAGGCCAGAACCGGTTCAGATATCACGGACCACTGATATTAGCCGTGGCCAGGGATCAAACCGAGGTGGCTGAGTTCATAGCCCAGTGCACTGACCCGCAGTACAAAGATCCGCCGTGTAGCCTTGTATGCATGTTGAACTTCTTTCTCACCGTACGGAGCCAACCGTGCTAATTGGAGGTGCGCGAAGCCTTAACAGACTGTTGGGGTGAGTGCTGTTAGGGAGCACTTATGAAGGCCGGCACGGCACACTAGGGGGCGGGTGGCCAGCACCATGCCCGGCTGCCTTTGTATCCCTGGTGGCGATATTTACACACTGCACCAGGTACTCATTTTAGACTGAGTCGATCTAGGGGAGACCCAGAACTGGTTCAGATAATTGTCACTGGTGTTGGCCGTGAGCGGGAAGCGAACTTGGGTCGCCGGGTTCGTAGGACAGCGCTCCAACCGCTATATGAGCGCTCCCCATAGTAACTGCAGTACCACTGTGACCAGCCACATCAATGCATGAATATAGTGAACATTTTTAAGTATAAAAAACATTTAGCTATCAACTTGCTAGGGCTGTAGCCGCTTGTAATGTCACCTACCCTGGTCTACCAGTGACCCAAAATATATTTAGTGAGAAATCAAGCCCTGAAATTGGGCTTAGGCAAACGTTCCAAGCAGAGGTTCGAAATATGTTTCTATCCATGTTGCAGACCACCCTGAAACGCAACTGATGCTTTGCTGCGATGAGATTTGCCGACGATAGCCTCCCTCCTCTCCGTGTTCCTCTCTCCTTCCCCCGCAGGAATAAACAAATTCACCAAAAAGCTGCGGAATCCCTATCAGATCGATAACAACGAGGTGCTGGACTTCCTCTCCCGGGTTCCCTCCGACGTGCAGAGGGTACGTGTCTCACTCAGCACGTCAGTTCTCGCATTATGACGCACGACTGATTTTTGTTTTTGGGGTGAGGCCATGTAACGATCTCTGCCCGAAATTGTGCGTTCGCCAAGAGCTCTCCACTACCCGACCGCCAAATTAAATTGTCACGTGTGCAAGCGTTTTTACGGCGCACCAGCTACGATGTTTCTCGGCTCACTCGCCGATACGTTGGCGGACGAACCCCGCCACCAAGTCAAGCAGCCGTTAAGATACGTCAGACGTCATCAGGACAAGATCCAGGAAACCAGAATAAAATTTCTGGTTAGTCAGAAGTCATTCTAAAACGCATCTATTTTCATTTTAGCAAGTAAGGCCCACTGAGCTATATAGCTCTTTTTCAGAAGCGACCTGACCACAAATGATAGCTCAACAAAGTGGCTTATGTGGACATTTATAGCAAATACTCTTAAACGCATGTTTCTAAATATGGAGGGAAAACCCCCCAAAAATACACGTGCCCATGGGGAGAACATGCAAATTCCAAACAAACAGGTGTCAGGGACGGGATCAAACCCACGACCTGTACAGCAGGTGTGGTAGTTAACATTTAGCCACCATGGCACCCCTAACTCCAACTCCCTGGATGGCCGTGTCGGGTGGTGGAGGGTGTTAACGACACATGTGCCCAGATTGTTATGTACAGGCGTGCGTTGTGCCTTGGAGGCCCTCCGGTGCGAGTATTTCACATCGCACATCGTTTCTTTTACATCTCATTTCTTGAGAACTTAATTTTGTTTAGTTTGTTGTCCTTCCCCCGCACCTCCGATTAGCAAGGTTGGCTACATACATATATACATAATCGAGACAGGGTGCTCTGCTTTGATAACCCTGAAGGGCTATTTCCCAAAACGTCGCCCATTGTATATTTTTCCTAAGCCCAGTGTTATTGACGAATGGTTTTTCTAAACAATCGGCTTAGTACTTTATAATCCCACGTGGTTCACCTCCCATAGGGCCCAGCTGATGAAGCTGTTGCTGTCGCCAGAGATGTGTTAATCGCCAATCTCGTTCGTGACGACGGGTCGCTGCTGTCGCTGCATGCGTCGTATGCAGGTTCAGTACCGGGAAATCAAGCACGACCTGGGGCCCAGTCCAAGCAGGAAGAAACGTAGCAATCCGGGGTAGATGCCAGCGCGTCAAAGACAAGGATGTGGTATTTTTTTTTTTACGATCGCAAATGCGCAAGGGACCAAGTCGGAGATCTGTAGGGGACGTGGCGCGTCCTTTTAAATCTGAAACCCATGCATGTATTTTACAATGCGGTAAGAATGCATAACTGTCAGCCAGTGAATGTGATATATTTTTAACCCTCTGACAATGGTGTATTTTATATTAAGCGGAAAGTGCAATGCCCAAAACTTACGGTTTATCTCGTCTGTCGTTTAAACGCTTGTTTGAAACATGCGCAATGGTAGCTGTGCTACTGCCTGTGACTTCCCCTCACCCACTTAAGGACAAAAATAAGTTGATTTTACCGTCTGTCGCGACTTGGAAACGTTTTCTTTCTTAAATTAAAATAATGCAAAGATATGTGCCTTTGCACTCAATGGATCGTGACGGAAAAAAATGTTGTGGCGTTTACACATCCAGCCGCGCATGTTTACATTTTAAACTGGGGCCATCGTGAAAGCCACCTTTGACCTTAAGTAATTTACTCTGTCTTTTAATAAATAACTTTCAATGAAGGTGATGCAGTTTTAAACCCTGCGGAGTTGCCCTGGTGAAAACGGAGGGCGTGTGGAAACGCGTTAAAAAGGGGGCCATCTTTTAAACAGTCTTCGATGTACGATGTTCTTAAAATGCTGACGATGGGGGCTTTTTTTTTCTTTCAAACATTTAGCTGGAATTGCGAGATTCTTCCTTTCAAGGATTTTTTTTGTCTTAATCGTCTTTTTTTTTTAAAGATGACATCATCTGGGTTTAATGATGGGACGAGGGGTTATTTTAATCAAAGTTATGAACGTTGGTCTTCCAAGCCATGGGGTTGAAAGTGGCTACAGGAGTGCCAACGGAACCCGTGCGAATGCAAATACTCATCGTTGATACGTTTCAGCCAAGCTGCATATATTATGTACGCAGCGAATATGAAAATGTTCTGATGCATGTAAATCATAGCTTTATTTCTGTACAATTGGACGTATGAAGTATATGAGGGAATGTACAAACATACAGTAGACACGAATATATAAACAAATTTGCAAATGTTGCTAGATTTTTGGAGACTTCCAGTCATGGCTGTATTTTCCATGCTCTCGCAAAATAAAGTATTCATTTTGCAGACGTTTGTTCACAAATACTGGTTGAAAATCCCCCAACTTTTCAGTGTTGAAAGTATTTACAACTTAGAAAACCCCACGAGTGTCAATGTTAGCCATACCATGGCAAAATATATACATTCTTAAAAAACATTAAAGCTTAACGTTTTGACCTCTTAGATTCCACAACCGTAGTAGTACAGAATCCTAATAAAAACATTCTGAGCAGACTTGCTTCACGGTTAATTAGCAGGCGATGTGCCAAGTGTTTTCCTCCCACCGTTGTTCCTAAATTTCTGCCCACGTTCGTTTTTTGCTTAAATTCCAGTACACAAATTGAGGTTGTACGATACTTTGCTAAGCCAAATCATAGTACAATGTGAGCTCATTTTGGCCGAGCCAAATGCTCTCACGAAGGACGCTCATTTGTGTGTCCGCCCCGCGACTTTAGCCAACTGAGCAATCCACCTTTCCAAGTGTTTACTCCTTAGCCTTGGGCTGGGGTTCATCACAACCGTGCCAGGTTGTCACAACTGACCAACATCTCCTGCAAAAACGGAAACAAAAACTTCAGCTAAGTCTTTTGACCTGCATCGGTCCGATTAAATGTGTGAATGAACTTTGCATTGGATTACGTTTCCTTAATTGGGTTGGCACCTTTGCTAATCTCTATATCCGTGAAACAAACTGTGTTATTAACACATCACTACTGTTGGGATTTACTGATATTTCTGTATTTGTGCTTACATCACTGAAACCAACAGTGGTACAAGGATGAGTAGTGAACCAAGCATCAACACTGAGCATTGCGAGTTGAGTTTTGAGAAGGCCCAACTTAATTCTTGAGGGCAGGCAACCACATTCCGTGCATGGGGTGCGATTACCCAAGAAATATGCCTTTTTACAGACGAAAAATTTCAAATATTATTTTACACATTACACTGAATGAGAAACTTATTGTAACGAAGACTACTTTGACTAAAAAGCACTTTATTAAAAATATATATTAAGATTTGGTAGGCTCCAGCATCTCCCTGTACAAAAAAAACCATTCCCCCCTCTTAAAATGTATTAAATAAACACTTTGCAAAGTTGTATCGATTTATAATAACGAGTTTACAACAAAATCACCACAGCCCCCTGGCTCCCACCACCTCTCAACCCACCCCCCACCATTCCCCCACCCCGTACCCCTCGCCAATTTACGGTGGAATTCAACGGAGGTTGTCTTATGGATAGAACAGCACCCACTAAAGGAACGTGGAATTTCCACCACTGGCTCAGGGCTGTAAACAGGAGACTAGTACCGCCTCAACGCTTGTCCAAACAAGAAACCACTTTTCAGTAATCAAGATTACTCTGTCCAGTGTTCATTGTGCAGTATAACCGAGGAACCGGGGCAAAGAAGCGTCGCAGTCGAGCGCACGGAGGAGGCCTTCTGTCTTTGCAGACAAGGGCTGTGGCGCCACCACTTCCGTCAAGAAGGCCTTCAGTGCGGGCACGTGCTCGTGCAGCGCCATCACCTGTGCTAGGTCCTCGGCACAGCGTTCCACCTCCGTGTCCATCTCCGTGGGAGAGCAGGGCTTGGGACTTCCGTCCGTCGCAATCGTCCGCAGCGCTCTCAGCCCTTCCGTGCAGTCTCCCGGAAGCCATAGGGTCTGCAGAAGCTCCAGGACGTGGTGTAGCCGCAGGTAATCCTGCAGGAGCTGCTTCAGGAGGAAGACGAAAACTGCCGGGTTGGCGCAAGAGGCCAGGTAGTTGTCCGTGTCCTGATTTCTCTCTGTGGCGAGCACAAGGGTGGCGGTGAACACACAAGAGACTTGTAATATTTGTCTCCGCAATGACAAGGAAAAACTCGCCTATATACTATTGCATAGGCTTTGGTGGTTGTGCTGTATACCTCTCAGATGTGGTTTTTAGGGTCAGTTCCTGAAGCTCCCAGCACGTGAAGCGAAACACTGCACATCGTGCCAAACACCGCACGGCACAACCCATCGGAGAGAGCTTGTGTATTATGTGATTTGAGCCCTTTTGCCAATACCCTGCCGGATGAGGCCCTCTCCAGACTCTGGGTTATTTGACCAAACTTCACCACGGTGCTGGTTGGCGAAGGCGGGGAGCACAGACATGAGCGTAGAATATTTGTATAGTACAAACTGGCAGTATGCTTGCCGTACATATGTTTCATTCGTATACTCATGTAGAAAATGTAATTGTGTTTCGTTACATGCCTCGTGTACAAACGTATTATCTTTGGAATCTCAGATAAATTGATACAATTTGGCATCATGTAGCATCCAAATGCAACCCCATGTCAAGACACTGTTCAGAAACAGTGGGCATGTATTATGGAGCAAACGAAGCACTCGGGTTACAGGTAAAGGGGAAAAAATTAACGTATTGAGCGTGGACTTTAGCAGGGGCAGTTGACAGCATGAATGGCTGGGAAAATTGAGTCCAGACATTAGGGGCAGCAGAGGAGAATAAGTGACCTCCCACTGATTAAACCTACTGTGTAGGTTATTGTGATTGTGCCGAGTCGCTCTCCGTGTTTTTGGTTTGTACCGTGTTGTTCGGCATGACGTCCAATATTTTGCTCCACGTGCTGGAGGCTTCTTCAGGAAGTGACTATTTGTGAAGCTGCCAGCACGTGCAACTGAATATCCCTGAAGAGCAATGACAATGTAGCTATAACTGGCGCTTTGGGTGGCAGATTCGTGCCAAAAAGGTGCCACGTGGTAACCAAAAATAAATTGACTTGACTCGGATGAGTTTGAATTAATGAGAAACTGTAATGCAAGGGATGGAGAACTTACGACCTTCACGTTCATTGTATGCGCCCCGTGGTCACTTGACGCCTACCACTTCGACACGGCCCGTTAGGACATCACATCGAACAGCATACGGTATAACCCGAAAACGCATCGGAGAGAAGGTTGCATCTGTAGCAGTGACAAAAGTGAGGAGGGACGTTTCGCCGACCGGCGCCGTGCCGGAGCAGGAGGCTGGCGACGTCTCCGTGTCCTCGCGCAAAGGCCTCGGACAGCGGCGTCCGCCCGTCGACAGCTGCGTGCAGGTCCACGTTCTGGCAGCTCTGCAGGATCTCGCGCACGCACGCCAGGCTGCCGTGGAAGCACGCATCGTGGAGGGGAGTCCAACCGGCGCAGTCTGTAGTCAAGCGCACCGGGGGCAAACGGGGCTTAGCCTCCCAGACACCCCAATTAACTCTCCAGATGCAACGATGCACTCAAAAGCTGGCGGGGAGGAGGGGGGGGGGGGTGTGGTGTCGGAAACGTTTCCAATACGCTCAGAAAGCAGAGTCAGTACGAACTCAAAAAATACCAGAACACAGCTGGCAATATCTTTTCAGTAGGTTATAGCGCGCTTGGCCGAAACACGAGAAGCAAAAAAAAAAGCGCACACGAGTGAAGGCAATAATTTATGCGGCTAGGCTCGGCGCGATACATGTGTAAGCAATGAAAAACACGGGGCGCCCTTGACAAGCGGAGCACAGCGCCGCAGCGAGCACGCGGCGGCGGCGGAGTGGTTGCGTGGCGGCACGGACCCTGCACGTTGATGTCTGTGCCAGGAATCTCCAGCAGCTGCTTCAGCTTTGCGACGTCATTCTTTATACAAGCCTTGTGCAGCCGGGTCTCACCTGCGGCGTACGATACAGTTACACGCACGGGGTATTTCTTAGGCACGGCTGTAACCGATACGTTATTTTCGTTAGCCGGCTCTGCAAACAAAAAGCCCGTAAGTTAAAACTTCAAAGCGCGACTGCCAACGCGCATTTATATGAGGCAAAAGCACTGTGAGGCGCTTTCACCGAAATTGTTAAATATGCAGCGTGGTCATGTGAAAACAAAAATATCAATTGCAATTTTGCAGCAGCGACAACAAAGGCAATTTAAGAGGTATCACAAGCAATTTTGGACCGCTACGTTTTGAAAACGTGAACCAGATTTTATTCCGTTTAATGATGTTTGTCAAGCGATTTGACTTCACCGTGTTTTATTAAAGGCGTTTTTTTTTTTACAAAAATTGGACAACGAAAGGGAAAGGAAAATAAACAGTAAAATGCTGCACCCGGTGTGAAACGTCTAGAAAATGTTACGCTGAATAGTGCCCAACAAAAAGTGTGCTGCCCAAGCGGTTTCGTAAACAGACAGGGAAAAAGAAAAGAAAGATGTATTAATGAACGTATCCACCATAGCTGTATTACAAAATTCCCTTCAGGCTTCAACTTTCTTCTGGGGTCACTGTGCAAAAATGTTACGCATGGAAATAATTTTCTTAACAGCCATGTGATCGAGATGCAGTGCACCTGCAACGCCAGTGAACTGGGCTGACAGCTCTCTGCTGAAGTTTAAAACCGCTCGGATTAAAAAAATATAAACTTTCTTATGTCGATTCCACCGAGGAAGGGGCGAGGGGGTAGTAAGGGAAGGGGGGGGGGGGAAGGTCAAAGCGAAATGCAATGATGGATGTCTCTTTGCAACCATAAAGCACCATGGGTAACGGTACACCGTTTTACAAAGAAAATTATATTCTGAAAAGTAGTCTGGGTAACGGCGGCGGCTGGAAGGGGACGTGTGGAGTGATTTTAATTTTTTGCACGTTCAACAGAAAACCTCGGTGCCGTTAACGGTGCACGGTGAAGCCAAGCCATGCAATCACCAACCCACCGTACTGTACGTGGCACGGCAGCCTTGTACTCCTGGGGAATGCAAACTACTATCATCGTTGGGGGAAATACCCGGTGGTGTTTGTATTGTTAGTTTGAGCACCTGCAGGGCAATCGTTTCATAAGTGCGTCTCTTGTGGCTGCTGCCTTTACGTTCCGTGCGGCAGCATTACCCTTGGGGTTGATGCTCTTGCAAGCGCTGCTGAGTACATCCCCACCCATGGTTTCCAGTGTGTTTATATCCGTCTCCTTGGATTGCTTCCTCAACCGTCCCACCAAGCCATCGTACCTACCAAAACAAAGCGCACGTGTTTTGAGCAGACCCGCGGCGGGCAGCA